TTGTCTCAATATTTGGTTTCTTTTACTTTAAAGTTTATTGTTGTTCCTATCAAAAAAAAAAGTTTATTGTTGTTTATGTCTCTTTCGCTAAAGGGATTTCAAGTAGAGAAGAAAGATGTTCACGTTCTAGACAAATACTTCATGACACTAACTAGTTCATCCATTATGTCCACTTTTTGCTTGACAAGCCTCTTTTTGTCTACCCTCACGCAAAGCATCTTAAGTTTTACAAATATCTTTGCAGTCATTTAAATTTTTTGTAGGCAGGTTTCGTGTCTTTTGGTCCAAAACTAGCTCTTCTCGAACTCAGAACATGTATAGTACATGACATGTAGTTGTTCTCTGATGTTCTTAGTGATCAAAATCAAAGTGAAATAGTGAATACCTAGTTATATATAAATCACGTACAGAATATGAGTGATCAAATCATCAAAGGTAGAAGGTTTATTAGATTACCCATATTTGAAAAAAGGCATTGTTAAAGCCTTTTTAGTTTGAATTGTGAACTTATATATGCTTATGGTTTCTCTCCTATACCTTGAAATTCGTGAATTTACAATATCAAAATGCATATTTTTCTTCACTCTAGCTTAGATTTATTAGTAAAAACTAAAATTTATTGTTGATATTAACACCTAAAATTTGGACTAACAATATTTATGGAACTATTCTTCTCAACGCATTTGTTGAAAACTAGAAACCCAATATGGCAATATCTATGAATGGCAAAAGAAGAAAAGAAAAAGAACCCTACTACAATTAGATTGACTCAGTCCCAGATGGATTGTTTTTATTTGTCAATCTCTTATTAAATCCATGTTAGATAAAGTCCATATCATTTTTAGTAGGCTCTTATTATTGGCCCAATTCTTGTATTAGTTCGAAGGTAAACGCCTCAGTAGATAATTTTCAAATTATTATTGTTGACATTTATAAATTTCTATTTATATAATAGTTAAATTGATAAATGAATCTATACTATTAATTGGAAAGCATTAGATAATAAATAATCTTATAAAGGGTAAAGAATTACAAAGAATGCCATTAGGAATTTTGCATTCAAAGAGTAAAAAAAGAAACACGTAGAAGGGTAAAACAATAATTTGAAAGGAAGTAACCCGCAGATCTTGGGCTACTGGACCGAATAAACACGCAGATCCTGGGGTTCTTTGGCGGGTCGACACGCGGATCATGGGCTCGATCCTTTGCTTGATCCGGCCGGTTGAGATTTTGGCAATCTGAACAAAATTAATTGGAAACCAAAAATGACATTTACGAATTTAAAGATATTACCAAAACAAACGTATCCCTTTAATTTCGAATACAAAATAAGGATAGATAGTAATAGTAACAATAATTCGTTTCAAAAATATCCAAACTTGAAGGTTGTTTTCAATCTTTTCGAATTCAGTTAATATATTTTCCAAATATAACAATAACTATATATTCTATACCTCTCAAATCAAGTATATACCTTAAAACTTTATTTAAAAAATGGATTTGCAAATATATTCTTTTGATCTAATAGGTTTAACCCTAGCCGACCTCTTTTCCCTATAAATATAGAATGACTAATACCATTTTCCATACTCATTAAGCTTTCAAACGACCCCTAACCTTTTGCTACTTCTTTTTTAAAAATGACTGCAAAAGACCAATCTTGCTATTTCAACATTGCTACTTCGTTTCTCATTTCTAACAATGGATGAAATCTTATATCACCAATCTTGCTAACATCAAACCTTTCAAGACAAGATGCAGAATCCAAGTAAAAATCGTTCATTCGTGTAAAGGTGATTAATGCATATCAAACAATGGTAGAATTTTTAATACTTTGCATCTCTTATTTAGTACTTTCATTTTAACATACTAGAGAAAAACAAAGTTTTCTATATTAAGTAACCCACAATTAGACTCAATAACAGTAGGTAAATATGCAAATCTAATAAACAAAGTGTATAAATTATGATCTCACTAAGACACTAACCTTCAACCAATAGATTTTTGAATAGCTCCAATGACAAAACGTGATAGCCTCCTCCACATTTTTAGGTTACTCGCAATTTATACTTGACCTGAATACATTCCATGTTTAAATTTTTGGTAATAGCTATTGTTTTCTAATAATCGTATCAGTTTTTCTTCTTTGTTTATCCTTTTCTTCCATTAACATCATTATATTTGAAATATATATATAGAAGCTAAATTAAATAGAACTCTTTTCAGCTAACATAAATATACTGTAAAAAATTGATGGGTTTAAAAAAAAAAATAGCTCGGTAAACTGGAATTTTAATGTTCATCTTGCTTCTGTAGCTAACGAGAAAAACTACACGAAATCAAATTCGTATTAGTTGATTTAATTCAGTGAAAACAAAAATTTGGATATTCAATTGACAATAGTTACCCGTAGAAGATCTGGTGTTTCTTGACAATCCTTGGACAAGGATATCTATTCAAACATAAAAATTCACAGATTGGGAATTGAGGCAGTAAAACTATAGATCTGATTCGATAACAACCTTACCTCTTTAAAGAATTCACGATTTGCAACACTGTATAAACGGAGACGAAATAGCTGTCGCAATTGATTCTTCGATCGAGCCATGTTCTTACTTTTGTTCGGTGGGTTTTTTTTTTTTTTGTTTTTTAAGATGAGACAACGATTATTCTTTTCGACATTTTTTTTTCTCTGAATTTTATTGATATAAGACAACATACATCAACAAGAGTACATAAAGATATCTTACAAAATTAAGCGGCCCATTAAAAGTCCAGTCGATGATACGTTAAGGAAGAAGAAGAGATATCTTCACTCAGACACGTGTTAGGCATTAAGAAGCAACAAGGACAATAACGATTGTTCTAAAATAAAAAATAAATCTGTCCAAATAAATAAATTAAAATTCATTAATATACTAAATATCAATTTATTTAAACGAAAATATTAAATGGGTGAAGGAAGCTTTATAATTGGGTCAACATTAACATTATATTCCGTCCACAAAAAAATATCTCGGCTTGATTATTGTGCCAGTAAATTATATTTCCGTAAAAATGTTTGAGAATTACCGAATAGTAATTTATAAACAATTATATTGCATTACCAACTATTTAATTTATAAATTTTAAAATATTATATTCTTTCAATTTTTAACATTTGTATAATAACTTTTAGACACATAACTTCTCCAACTGTTCAAATTATTTCTTATGCACCAATCTATATATTTTTAAAAAAACACATATAAAATTACTTAAATCTGACGCTAATTTATTTTTAAAACTCTCAACTTTCAATTCTAAATTTAAAACTAATCAAATAGAAAACACAAACTTATGCACCAAACTATTTTTAAAACACAAAACATAATTCTACAATTATTATGCTAAGTTTAGGGTATCTATACTATTATATAATTCACTAACCAACAAAATAATATATTAATACAAACTTTATGCAAAGACATTCATTAAAAAATTTTCCCCGCACGAATGTGCGGGTCAGGATCTAGTTTACTTTAAAAAAGAAATCATCCAATCGTGTTTTCCAGCCAAACACGTGAATCATGTTTTTTTTTGTGTGGTAAAACCGCATAATAATGTTTTTTCGTCGAACATGCAAAATCACAGATTGCGATTTTACAAATTTGGTAAAAATTCCTATTTTCGTAATTTAGAAGTATTGGCGGGAAAGAGTTATTTCACAATTTTTCCAGAAAAATTACGATCTCAAAATTTTGGTGGCAAAACATAATTCCGTGGTTTTTGATTTTGGCGGAAAAAGGTACTCCACTGTAATTTGCGAATATTTACTTTGGCAGGATACATGAGTTCAGAAACTCTCTTTAAGTGTTAAACCTTGAGCCCTACGCTTTTCTTTCATCACACCATACCAGTGTTGGTCTTTGGCCACCGTAGAAACTCCAACATCAGTAACACAACACAAAAAATCTCCTCCACTGCTTTCAAAGCAATTGAACCAATTTCAGAAAAATTCAAATGCTCTTATTTTATCCACGAGCGGTCCTTGCACCTTCCACAGTTTTTCCTCTTCAGGCCCTATGCGGCTATGCCTCCTCTTCTCCTTGTGTTGTTGTCGCCTGAAATCGTTCTACTCAACAGCTAATAATGATAACTTAATATTATACACTGATTATACCAATCACATATTGTACACAATGAGTTTCCTATTACTAAAAAAAAAAAAAAAGAAGTAATCGTTATCTATATATCTATATATACATTTTTGGATCACAATTAGCAAATAAATCCTGAAGTTGAGAAATATTTACAATGGCATGCCATTAGCATTAATTATTTAGATTTGTTTTATTTAAGTAAATATTTTTAAATGAAATTCATTTCTCATATATTTAGCAAAAGTCTCTACAAAATATTTCCTTATCTATTTAAGTAAAGATTTTGAAATCAAATATGTTCTCAACAATTTACCAAAAATCTCTACACAATCTTTTTAAAAATCTCGACTTATTTAAGTTTTGATTTTTATCTGCAAAAAAAAAAATTAATAGTAACGAGTGATGTAAAACTCGGGATTGTTGATACTACAATTTTTTCTACTTTTTTTTTTCATATAATGAAAATTATTTTTTAGGGATATTTTCTCAAAACCTCTAAATAAAACAAAGAGTTTCAAAAGATAGCTTCTCTTTTGGCGGGTCGACCCGCAAACCCGCAACTCTCTACGGGCTTATCCGCATGAACCTGCGACCCGTAGTAGATAAAAATATTATTCAAAAAAAATTAACAAATGATGTTTAATTTTACGGGACGGGGTTATATGGTGCAACGAGTTTAGATCGATATTAATATTAAAAAATATACTATGGATGAAATCCTAGAATTAAAAATCAAAATTTAATTATAAAATCAGAAACACTAAACAAAATAAACAATATTAACAAAACAAATACAACTTAAAATTTTGCTAAATAATTTTTTAGTTATAAAAAAATCAACCCGCGGTACACCGCGGGGTAAAATCTAGTGATAACGTATAACGAATTAGTCGTTTTATTTATTTAACATAAGACTAAGGTTACCAAATTTGTTTTGGTTTCAAACCAAGCTTATCATTAACCTGGTAAACAGAATTAAATTTCTTGGTCAACCGTTCCATGAAGACCACCACTTCTTTCATCTTGAGATTCGCCGTCGCAGTTTTTCTCGCGGCGGTCCCGTCTTGCTTCTCCGCCGACGAACAGTACGAGGGGTGCCTTGCACCTCTGAGATGTGGCCCGGGTCCGACGCTGTTGCCAAACGTCACATATCCTTTCTGGGGAGTCAATAAACCCAATTATTGCGGCCAAACAGAGTTTCAACTCTCTTGCAAGAACAACCAAAACCTAACTTTAGTTCTCACAAACCTCTCTCTTCAAGTAATCTCTTTTGATTTGGAGAATCAAACTTTAACCGTTGCCGATGAGAGTTTGTTCGAGGGTAGATGCCCAAGCATATCCCTGAACTTCACCGGGACCAATCAGTTCACAATCGCTCCTACATCCAAGAAGATTGACCTATTCATTTGTCCTGCTCCTGAGATGGTAAATCCGCTCTCTTCGTTTACTTGCAGAAAAAGCAACGGGGATATGGTAACATATTACACGTTTAAGACCTCAGATTCTGTTACGGAGTGCGTAAAGTTGGGAGAAGTTCCAGTTCTTAGTTCTGTTTTGGATGATTTTCAGCGGTCAAGGCTAACATTAGAGGAAGCTTTGGTTAAGGGGTTTGATCTTAGGTACAACATCAGAGATGGTAGATCTTGCAGAGGTTGTTTGGATAGTGGTGGAGTCTGCGGTTCCGAGTCAGTATCTGGCAGTTTTCACTGTCTCTGTTATGACAGACCTCATGCTTTTAGGTGCTACGACAAAGGTGAGTAACAACAGTCTGCATTCACATAATGAAGTAAACTATTCATTTAGTGGATCTAGGTTTTTAAGCAACCCTGTAGTAAATCCTTAAAACCTTCCAACTAAATATCTGTTATACAAAGTGTAAAACTTTGAGTAGGACCGTTACCAACGGAAAATAAACATAGTAAAGAAAAGGTATTAAATAAAACTCGTAACATACTGCAGGTTCTTCACGCACTACAAGAAATTTGTTCATTGTTAGCGCTAAAAATATGCTATCTTACGTTATAGATAGCGAATTCACAAACGCTATGTTCTCGGCAGCTATGGTAGAGGACACCCATACGATAGCGTTTTTTGACATGCTATTATAGATCGTTCAATTATAGCGGTAATAGAATGCTGCAATATACTATATTATAGCACACATTTAGTGTTATTTTATATTGTATTGTAGCATATTTCTATTTGATATATATATATATATATATGTGTATATATATATATATATTCAATTTGATATATATATTGTTATTATATTTAAATCCTGTTTTGCAAAATAAATTTAATTGGATTAATAATATAAATTTTATTTTTTCATAAATCATCAAAATACATAAAAATATTACTACATTATCCATTTTTTACATAACATCATACAAAGTTTTAAACAAAATAAAGCTAACATCATAAAGATAAACTTCAATCTCCTTTATATGTTTCGCCTTCCCATATCATTCTCGTCCATAATCTCTGTAAGCATGTGTACAAAAGCATCAACATATATCACAGTCTTCAATCTTGTTTCCTCAATAGTTTTTATCTTAAAATCAATGCTGCATCAAACGCCAAAAATTTAACAAACTCAGAGAGACATCTAGAAGAAAATAAAGAGATAACTCATACATATATCAGTCTCTAATTTTTTTACATGGTAAAGAGATTCAAACCCAATAGTGGTGATGAAGCTCATGGTAATAATATTAAACAAAAAGGATGCTAAACTAATCCATGTATATAAACCAAATAACGAGATCACAAAACATGGTGAAATCATTAGTTACAAATAGTTCTACCTAAAGTAGACACACCACACCATAGAAAACACAACAGTTTTAAAATCATCAGAATAAAGAAAAGGAAAGAGCAAGGTATTTATATTCTTAAAAGACTACCTCTTTCGTGAGCATTCGTCCTCAACATGTTCTTGTATATTATGCTCAGCTATCTGTAATAACATTAAAGCAAAGGTATTTGGAGCAGCAAAGTATTAACATTATTTCCACTTGTCTTATAAACTGATCTCTGCATATCACAAAGAGAATACATAACAACAAAATACAACCTATGTTTTTATCAAAATGTAAAACTAATTAAGATGTTAGAAATATCAAAAGCACCTGAATTATCCTTCCTTGTTCTTTATTTTGCCAACCATCAAGTCATCCACAAAAAATCCATACTATCAAACGGAGAAATTAACCAAACAAAGCACAAAAATTCAAATAGACAATGTGTACCCAAACCTGAAGATCATCAACTTCACAGCCAAAGAGGAGCAAGACCCTTATACAAGCTGCAAAATAAGAAATCAAATACAAAAGGCTAGCAGTAACAAGAAAGTACCTTCCAAAAAAATGGTTACATTTGAACAAGGCTGGCTTTCCCATCCAATTGATTACATTATTCTATAGCAACTAGAAAACTATACGTGCATGTTTACCACCACAGGAGATCCTTCACAAAATGCCAACATACATATAATACCGTAAAGTGTCAGGTTTCAAGGGCTTCATTGTTGTGTCTACATGCAGGGCTATTATGAGAAAAAATTGGCCGATTCGGAAATTCAGATTTAAGATTGTCTCAAAGGGAAAATAAGGAGCAACCAACCTATCAAAATATGCCAACAGTGGTAAAACTTCAACCGGTTGCACGTTTTTATTGGTGGAATGAATTGGTTGAGACTTGCATGCCTCAAAGGATGCTTCAATATCCATGATTTGTCTCTCTCTAGAGACCAAATAAAAATAAACCATTAGACCTTCTTTTTTCACTTTGTTTAGAAATACACAAATTTGAGAAACAAGACACCTATTGTTAAGATTGTCCAAGATGTTGATGCCTCCTTTCATCTCTCGCAGTTCCTTTCCTTGTTTCTCAGTTAGCGACTACACATGGATAACATATGAGATTGGAAATTGCTTTTACAAGCTATAAATCACAAAAGAAATTTCCAACAAGTGAGAAATACAATTAAAGTAGCTAAACGTAATCAACCATGGAAACAAATTAAAGAACTTACAATTTCAACTCTTAAAATGACCAAATCTTAATAAAGCAATGGAACAAATAGAGAAAAAGAAGCATAAAAGACCTTTCCTGGTTTTGTTTTTTTTGACGAGAAGCTTGAGATAGAGATTATCGGACTTAGGAACAGTCTTTTTGTCTTCTTGTTCTTACCTCCTACTACAGATCGTTACCCTACAACACCAATAAAAAAACAGACCGGCTTAATGCAATTTTTCCAGTTTGAGTCTCACCTAGACATTTTATCGAACATCTAGAGTGCACAATGAGCTCATCTACAGAAAAACTACATAATCAAAATCCCAAGTCAAACTGGTTAAAACTAAGCAACAATAAGAGATAAAGTTGAATGAATGAGAGATTTCGATACAGAATCTGGAAATGTAAGCGGGGATGATAGAGATGCACAGTGAGAATTTCCCGAAAGCCATGAATAGGGGTCTTCAGATGGTGGCGACGCCGAGCCACAGTGAAGAAGAAGAGGCAGCTTCAACAATTGAGAGAAAGCCCTAATTCACTAGCTATCGATTCGGAAGAGAAAATCATAAAGAGAAAACAAATCGAGAAATCTTTGGTTGATGATAAACACCTCTACAAGTTGGCGAAACCAGAAGCATGTGACGGAGGACAAAATTGTGACCATTGACGGAGGAAGAAATTGGGGCCGGTGGCATGTTTAGTACCTACAGCTAGCTTCGACAGTGGCAGCGGCGAGATTCGTGGGTGGTTGGGACGAAATTGGGATGGGTGGCTAGGTCTAAGCGATTTTGTTTAGGTCTAGGAGAAAAAGGAGAAAAATCTTAAGTGTTCGTGTTACAGTGAATTTTTGGCTAAGTATTAGCGGGATAAATGATTTTACTTTCCCGCTTATTGATTTTCTATTATAGCGATTATTAAATGCTATACATAGCAACCTAATTCTAAAATTGATCATTCATAGCAATTCAGTAAACCGTGCTATAGTCAAGTGCTATCAATGAAGACTTTTTTTGTAGTGACGTACAAGAGCCAGGAACGTTTGGATGAAGATTATCATTGGTTAGTTTCCTACTCAGAGACTCTCAATGAGTGGACTTTGCTCGATAGAGAATTCGAAACTCACTAGTTTTCTTGTTCTTTTAGGTGCTATGGGAGGGGGACTTGTGATTGTTTTGGTAATCATAGCACTAATGTTACAAAAAGTGAAAACATGTTGTGTAAGAGAGCAAAACCTTGAGGCGCTTGTACCACTGAAACGTTATAGTTATGCACAAGTCAAGAAAATGACAAAGTCATTCAGACATGAAGTTGGGAAAGGAGGATTTGGGGTTGTGTATAGAGGAAACTTTTGTGATGGCCGCAAGGTTGCGGTGAAGGTTTTGAAAGATTCAAAAGGCAATGGGGAAGACTTCATCAATGAAGTTGCAAGTATGAGCAGAACATCTCATGTAAACATTGTGTTGGGGTCGGGTTTCACCCATCTCTTGAAACCGAGCCAAACATCAAAACACCTCATAATAATCACCTCGGGTACCTCACATCGCCTCGGGGTACAGTCCAAATCGCCTAGGAGTACACCCCACATCGCCTCGGGGTACAGTCCAAATCGCCTCGGGGTGCAGTCCAAATCGCCTCGGGGTACAGTCCAAATCGCCTCGGGGTACACCTCACATCGCCTCGGGGTACAGTCCAAATCGCCTATGGGTACAGGCCACACCAGCACCCTGTCCCGAGCCGATTACACCTGTTACCCCGAGGCGAAGTCTTCAGAGTCACCCGGGGCGAAGTCTTCAAAGTCACCCGAGGCGAAGTCTTCAGAGTCACCCGAGGTGAAATCTTCAGTCACCCGAGGTGAAGTCTTCAGAGTCACCCGAGGCAAAGTCTTCAGAGTCACCCGAGGTGAAGTCTTCAAAGTCACCCGAGGTGAAATCTTCAAAGTCACCCGAGGTGAAATCTTCAGAGTCACCCGAAAGGGAAGTCTTTGGAGTCACCCGAGGCAAAGTCTTCAGAGTCACCCGAGGCGAAGTCTTCAGAGTCACCCGTGGTGAAGTCTTCAGAGTCACCCGAAGCAAAGACTTGGTTATAAATTCACTTCCAAAGTATCACTTCCGAATAGAACGACATCATTTCCGAAAAAGAGGGATCATTTCCGAGATATTCGGAAATGATAAGGAAGAATCTTGAAGGATCTTTGCAAATTAGGAAATCTTCCAAAAGCCTCCGAAGAATAAGGAAAGTATCCTTATCCGCAATATTCTAAGCCGACTCCGAGGAAAATAGAAATCTTCCGAGAATATCGCTGGAGAGGCGGTTTACTATCCCTATATAAAGCGACTCAAGGTCTTCACAAAGGGAGATACAAGCAAAAACACTCTTGACTTCGGACTACTAAAAGCTCTGATATTCAAAAGCAAACAAACCCTTTTCTTTTTACGATCTAGTTCTTTGTACGATCGAAACTATTCTATTCATCAATAATATCAAGAACACCATCCTTGGTTACAAGTCTTTCTGTTGTTATTTGAGAATTCTCGCTATTTGTATCCCTAAAAAGAAACCCTAGACAAATTTCGATTGTGCAATTTTCGACTTCCACACATTGTTACCTTGCTTGGATTTTGTTATGAAGGTTCCAAAAGAGCAATTATATATGAGTTTTTGGAAAATGGATCTTTGGATAAATTTATCTCAAGAAAACAGTCATCGAATATGGACTAGGATGCACTGTATGGGATTGCGCTAGGCGTTGCTCGTGGTCTGGAGTATTTGCACAATGGGTGCAGAGCAAGGATTGTGCATTTCGATATAAAACCACAGAATGTTTTGTTAGATGACAATCTTTGCCCCAAAGTTTCAGACTTTGGCCTCGCTAAACTTTGTGAGAAGAAAGAAAGCATCTTATCACTACTAGACACAAGAGGAACGATAGGGTACATTGCACCTGAAGTGTTTTCAAGAATGTATGGGAGAGTCTCCCACAAATCAGATGTATATAGCTATGGGATGTTAGTTCTTGAGATGATAGGAGCAAGGAACAAAACATCCATAGAAGACTCTGCATCTAACACAAGCTCAATGTACTTTCTTGAATGGATTTATAAGGATCTTGAGAAGGGATACAATAAACGGCTTGTCGAGAATGTAGTCACTAGCGAAGAAGACGAGATAGTTAGGAAGATGACATTGGTGGGTTTGTGGTGTATTCAATCTTCCCCATCAAACCGCCCACCAATGAACAGAGTTGTAGAGATGTTGGAAGGAAGCTTGAATGCTCTTGAAGTCCCTCCCAAGCCTGTTTTGCAGCATATTTCAGCGGCACCGCTTTCTGAATCTTTTGGAATGTTAGGAGAGATTTCAATCGCCTCCGAGGTATGGAATGATTTATAAACTGGAAATCACAATCTTAAAATTTGTGAGCAAACCAATTTGGTGTAATTGTTAGTTCTATTCACATAGAAGAAAATAGAACACATACATTTTTCGTTATGGCATAAACCTCCATATGTAAATTGTTTTTAGAAAAATATTGGTCTGTTTGTCCCAATAAAACACTTTTGTGTGAATATTTTGCAACTTGTGAATAACTTGAGAATAAAAGAGGCTTTAAGTTTTTCTTAGACGGTCGATACTTATTGTCGAGAGTTGTAACTTATGTCTTTGATGTTTCTTGTGAAAAGGTAATCAAATTGTTGACTTTTCAAGTCTTCTATAATCCCTACATTAAAAAGATGAAGAAAAACATATATGAAAGTATGGTATAGGTTTTCCGACAAGTCCGTTTCTTTCATAATGAAAATTCTTACGTAAAGACATTTAGGTGATATCTGCTAATGTTCATCTTAGTTGATTTATCAACTGACCACCTTTATCTTGTTACTTTTCTTCTTCTTCACCACTCAATGACCATTCTCTATATGTCTCAGTATCATTTTTTGGTTTAGGAAAAATTTACCAAAGTCTTCCGGAATAAACTAATAAAGCCTAAAAATCGATGGTTCGAGTGATGCTTGAAAGGAAACCATATTAAATGTTCTGGTCTCCAATATGAGGGAATGTGCATGTTTAAGCCCATAGTTTCTTAGTAATTCAGAAAAGAAAAAAAAAACTAATTAAGCCATTTATTTAAATTTTTGGTAGTTTTATGTATTTGTCCACTATTTCACCTTGACTTGGTCTTTATGCTTCTTTCCCTCTCTCTCATGCTCTCTCTTTAAGTCACTTGCTCCTCTCCTCCACACAAATCAAACCCAGAAGACACACTGTTTAGTGATCAAACAAATCATGTACTATCCCCTCAGTTCTTATTCAATTTTGTTCTTCAGTTCTTTAAAAAAAAACATCTACTTTTTATTCTTTGTTGACCTTTTTCCTTCAGAAAAGTTTTATTACATACTAATTTTTACATTCAAAATAAATTCCATAATGTATATGCCAATATTTCTTTTTTTAGCCACTCTATACGTATTTTACATTTTTTATAACAAAATTCTTAAACTGATAACAAAATGAATAACTAAAGTGTTAAACAAATACATGTATAATTATTTGGAAGGACATCAAAACCTATTATTGTATTATTTATTTTGCAATTACATTTTTAATCAGTATGATGCTTGGGTTTCTCTCTAGTATATAATATATATATATATAAGATGGACAGAATCTTAATTAATTACAAGAGAATATTATAGTGGTAATGATAGGAGAAATCATAGGAATTGATAATTGATTTGAATGTTGCTCTTTCCTTCTATAGTAAAGAGGCTTCAAGTTTTTCTTAAACGGTAGAAACTTATTGAATAGAGAGTTGTGTAACTTATGTCTTTGATGTTGCTCGTGAAAAGGTAATCAAGTTGTTGACTTTTCAAGTCTTCTAAATCCTCTATGGTGGATACGTTAAAAGGATAAAGACAAACAGTTATGAAAGTAAGGTATAGGTTTTCCAACAAATCCCTCTCTTTGGCAATGCGATTTTCCGAGAAAATTCTTACGAAAAGATATTTAGACGATATCAACAGATGTTTATCCTAGTTGATTTATTAAGTGACCACCTTTATTTGTTACTTTTCTTCTTCTTCGCCACCCAATGATCATTCTTTATCTGTCTCAATTTCGTTTTCTGTCTTCCTAATAAAACTAACAACTAGATCATGACCCGTGCTATACAGCACGGGATTAAATATTTTGAATGAATCAAATTATATAATTTGTTTGAAGATATAATATGATAAAATAGTATAATAATATAGTTTACAAGTGATGCCAGATAATAGTATACGATTTTTATTACTATTTGGATATAATGTTGTATTAGATTGATTTGGTGTGGAAGCCCCATTGACCCATTGGTTTACCAAGGGTTATATCTAGGATATCACCTGTATTATATCATCTCATATTAATATCGACCCAAACACGTCCTACCATCTAACCCCGTCTCGTGAAGTTAAACATCATTTTGTTGTTTTTTGTTTTAATAATACTTTTATTTAAAAGACAATAATACTTTTATTTAAAAGAGAAATTCAAATCAATTTAAAAGTTTGCTTTCAAATAGTTTCCATAATATATATATTCTTAATTATTATAAAATTATAAATATTTTTAACGTTTAATAAACTTTAAAAAATTATAGTATTTACCTTTCAAAAAATTACAAACATTTATAATAATTGATTTTTAATTTTTTAAAATATTTCTTATATTTTGAAACTTTTTAAAAGTAAGAAATATATATTATTATATAATAAATAACAATAACAAATAACCCGTCACCACTAAAACCATCCACTTTGCCGCATGTATGGTTGCACCACCATAACCTTTCGAAGTTGTGATAAAATAATTAAGCCATGAAATCGATCAAATGTTTTTTCGTAACGCTAATTATTCAACAGTAGATTAAAATGACTCATCTAATATAGTTTGAATATTCGAGATAATCAATACCTTAATTTCTTAGAATAATAATTTCAAAAAAAATTAAAAAATGCTCAACGACGACAAAAAATCGATTACATGTTACACACCTTAGGTTTGAAGGGAGAGCAACGCATCACCACCACCAGTGCACCATGGCTACTCCGCCGCTTTAAAAGCTGTACACAAACATTATTCACATTAGTAATCATCGATATTTATATAGATTATGTAAACAATGAACAATGCAATAATGAAACTACTTTGATAGCAATCGAGCTTTTATTTATAGAGAAAAATATGGTGTTACACAATTTAGGTTTAGACGCAAAAAAATCTAAACAAATAAATGATATCACGGTGAGAATATTCACAAATAATTATTTTATTTATCTCATTACGATTTTGGTATTATTTATTTAAGTATATCAATTTATATTTTTTTAATCTATGGTTTTTTTTCTTATCTACCTATAGTCTATAATATATATATGGTTGTTTCTTTAATTACGTTTTGGTAGATTAAATATTTACCAAGAAAATCTAAATCTTAATTGCATATTTAATTTATGATGATGAAATATTAGAGAATATTAAATTTATTATAATCTTAACAATTTTTTTATTTATTCATTAAAAATAGTTTCACGCATTATCACAATTACGATAATTATAGTAGTGCAAATCTAATTAATATTTGTTTCCGAAACAAAAAAATGTTTATTAGTTTACACTCATTAATAAAAAATGCAAAGCTTGAATTTGTCCTATAAATACAAAATTTAATGTATTACTTTTCTATATTAGTAATTTTTGAATATCTTACTCATTTGCACCGGAAATATTAAATCGGATCTTCACCTAACTTTTCATTTTATATATTCCATATTGCTATGTAAATCTTGTTTGGTAAGATACTTCTGCAAAAAAAATGGACATTAAAACTTAAATGCTAACAATAATTGTAATATCATAATCAAATCTTCGATTAATACATATGGTAATATGCAATCTTTTAAGTAGTAGATAACACAGATTGTGAAGAATAATTCTCACACAAGTTACGGTAATTAGTTTAAAGAGTCCTGATTCATGTAGGATCTGATTTTCTTTTGCCAACATAATGAAATTTGAATTTTAAATCCTAGAAAAAATCATTTAAATACGGTAACATTTTTTCAATGATATAACATTTTAAATTTTGAATTTTACATTTTGAATAACATTTTCATTTTCAAATAATGGATTAGTATATAATATTTTCAATAACATTTTCGAACTATATGAGTATTATAATTCAAAATAGCATTTTTTATAAAGTCAATTGATATAAAATATTTCAATGATATATCATTTTCATTAACAGTTTCAATAACATTTTTGTGTCACATTTTCGAATTATATATTAGTATACAACATTTTTACTAATTGTGTTACATTTTCGAATCCTATACTATTATTTGGGGAGTACACTTTATAACATACCCTTAACTAACCTTTCCTTTTGTAAAAAATTACTTAAGAATGCCATTAGAAATAAAATTTTATAAAGTAAATTAATTCAACTCATTAAGGATAAACAAGTCAAATACTATTTTATGTAATTTAATTAATTTAATTTAAGTATAAAAACGAAAATCTATCATTAATTTCTTTTAAAAAATGACCAATCAAAATGAGCATATAAGATTTGATATCTAACTTACCATATCAATTTGTTATTAATCATTATACTCCACCTCTCATCTTTATATGATTCTATTTATATAAATAAATAAATCATTATATCATCTATATAATAAAAAAAAGTAAATTTTTTTCCGCATATACAAAAATTTGAATTTTTAAAAACGAGTATAAATTATTCAATGTATGAAAGAACAAATTTAACGGGTCAAAATTCATATTTGAGTAATATATTCTTTTTTTTTTAGTATCATCAATACTTAATAGGTCAAAAATTTATGAAGTATAAATACTCTAATTTGATTTTTCGAAACAAATATTTATAATAGGCGGCGGATTGAATATAATATATTATATGATGAAATGAGTTATGATCCTTATAACTATTTGAATATTTATATTTAATTTCATATCATTTTTTTTTTAATTCATAATTTTACCTACTACAATAAAATTTTTTAAAGATTTTAATTTGGAACATTTTAAAAAAGTTTAATTTAATATATTAAAGAATATCATAAATATTTAATAGATTAAAAAGATAAAAAAAATTATAAATATATTAATTTGATTTTCTAAAAAAAGGAATGTTTAAAATATTATATGGTAGAAAGTTATGATCCTTATAACAGATTTATTTATAATATTTTGATTTTTGATCTAACTAAATTATATACACTCTTATTTTGTGGTTGTTAACACAAATTAACTCATTGTTCAAACAAATTTAATTTTTTTTAAATAATCTTATTTTCCGTTTTCATATCTTAAAAAAATATACATAATTGAATACTACAGAAAAAGGAAAATATATTCATTCTAATATTATATATAGGGGCTGACAAAAAAATATTATTTTTTCACTTATTATAATATATCATACCTTTATTCTAAAACATAAAATTTATAAATTTTGTGATAAATGAAATTTAACCCGTACTGTAGTACGGGTGATGATCTAGTTTATTAGTATATAACAATTTCAAATTATATTAATTGTGTAATATAGTTATTATCGAAAAATATATGAATTATATAAACAAAATCTTTTAATATCTTTAAACCTGTTGACCCGTTAATATATATTAGTGACATGGAATAAAATTTTATGATTAAAATTCTCTAATGGCATATATTGTAATTTCTTACAAAATCAAGTTATGATCCTTAGGATGTACTTCCCAAATATTAGTATAGGATGTCATTTAATTAAAAAAAGATTTAGTGTTTTTATGTATTTGTCCACTATTTCACCTTGACTTGGTCTTTATGCTTCTTTCCCTCTCTCTCATGCTCTCTCTTTAAGTCACTTGCTCCTCTCCTCTCCACTCCACACAAATCAAACCCAGAAGACACTGTTTGCTGATCAAACAAATCATGTACTATCCCCTCAGTTCTTATTCAATCTTGTTCTTCCTCTTCTCCCTATTCTACCATCTTCCTTGTGCTTCAAGTAAACAAGGACTTGGGTGGTGTGAGTCTCTGTTTCAGTGTGGGAACATCACTGCTGATTTCCCCTTTTGGGGCGGGAGTCGTCACAAACCTTGCGGTCATCCGTTGCTAGAGCTTCACTGCAACAATAACAACATCACCTCTTTATTCATCTCAAATCAAGAGTTCTATGTTCGTCAACTAAATCAAACTTCTAACATTCTTACGCTTGCTAGATCAGACCTTTTAGGTTCTTTTTGCTCCTCATCTGCATACAATACCACAACCTTGCCTCCCGAAATCTTTGAGCTTCCCCCAACTTATAAGAGCCTAACCGTTTTATACCACTGTGATCCAAAGCTTTCTTACCGCTCGAGTTATACATGTCCTGCTCTCGGTACTTTTTCAGTGTCTCAAAGCCTTGAGTACCAGTATTCTTGCCAAAAAAATTTCTCGGTTAATGTTCCAACGAGTTTCAATCCAGAAGAGAGAGGGTTGAATTTGACCAATTTAGAAAGTGTTCTAAGAAAAGGTTTTGATGTGAAGCTGGCGATTGATGAGATACCGTGTCAAGAATGTTTATCCACTCGTGGAATCTGTGGTTTCAACAGTACCACACAGATTTGCTGTAACGTAACCTCACCATCTGGCGGAGTTACTTGCGTACCACAACATCAACCTAGTGGTAAGTTTCTGCAGCTACCAGTAAGTTTATCATAGACCAAAGATATTCACCTTTATCTTTGCTTTTTCTCCTCTTATTCTTTTTCACCTTTATCTTTGTTTTTTTCAGCTGATGAGCTTTATAGACGATGCAGTGAAGGTTTTAGCTGTGGCAGTCAGATAGGTCTCAAATACCCCTTATGGAAACCTGGCAGAGAAGGCTGTGGCCACCCCAACTTCAAGCTCAACTGTAGCGGAGGATTCCCAGAGCTTAACATCGCCTCTGTTATATTCAGAATCCTAGACACATCTTACTATTCTATAAGACTCGCAAGATCAGATTATATTGGCGATTTTTGTCCCGCAAACCCACTAAATGCGCCATTCATCGAAAACGTCCTTCCAGTCCTACAATTCACTGCTGACACAGAGCTTCTAACTTTATACTACGGCTGTCGATTCAATTCATCGGATATTCCTCCTAACATTTACGCTGGAGAGCTTGGTTGTGATGAGGGAAGAAGTTACTATGTGACGAGAAACCTCTCCTCTCCTTTACTTGACACGTCTAGAGGCCTTCTAAACAACTTTAGGGAAATGTGCAAAAGAAACGTCAGTGTTCCTGCGTCTGGACAAGCGTTATACGATCTGCAGAAAAGTCCAAATCCAGATAATCTGAAGATGGCTCTTGAACAAGGTTTTACGCTTGAAGTTAACTCAGATTGCCGAAGGTGCCTACACTCTTACGATACTTGCGGATATAATCAGACTTCAAGTGAGTTCGTGTGCTATTGTAAAGATGGTAAATGCAGAAACGATGGTAAGATTTCGGCAGCAGAAAATCCATTTAGTTTCAAAGTTCAAAGTTCAGCTCTAACCGACTTTTTTTTTCCTGCCATTTTATAGATGAAGGATTTTTTCGTCGGCATCAAGGCGCTATAAACGATGGTAACATTTTATAGACTTAAACTTTCTTTTTGGTTATCTCCCCTTAACCATTGTCTTCTCTAATAAGTTAATTGCTCCTTAATGGTTGTTACTTTATACAAGATCAAATTTGGTTCTATGCTGACAATTTTTACTTATTTTAATGGTTCTACAGCTCTTGTGTTCATCCTATTTTTTATAGGTTAGTTTGCTGCCCAAGATATTCAATTTTTTTTTTGATCTTCGTAGGTTTGATCTGTAACCTAATATTTTCTCTGTTTTCCTAGGTTTGTGCTCACTAACAGGTGTTATTGCGTTCCTGATTTTATTGTGCCCTTGCTTCAGAGTCAAAATTTTTCGAAAGAGAAAAACATCAGATGAAGTGAGACAAGAGAAGCTGAAGTCCCTTATTCCACTCAAACACTATACCTATGCCCAAGTGAAGAGAATTACAAAGTCATTTGTGGAAGTGGTTGGGAGAGGCGGATTTGGAATTGTTTACAGGGGAACTCTTTGTGATGGACGTATGGTTGCGGTGAAGGTCTTCAAAGAATCAAAGGGTAGTGATGGTGAAGATTTCATCAATGAAGTTGCAAGAAGAGAGAGGAAAAAAACAGAGAGGAGAAGAGATAGAGTGAGTCGGTTTTGTCCGCTAGGTGCTTGTGCAATGGTTGACGGAGTTCCAGGGGTTGACGTTGGAGCCTTTGCTATAACGGGAGGTAGTGGTGGCTCATTGACATCAGCATCTGTGATTATTAGGTTTGGAGCTTGGGCTGGAGGTAAGGACGAACGACTCACAACAGTTAAGAGGCTACCGGGTTTAAGAGTGGACATGTAAGGTGGGATTTCTTTTCTGCCCAAACATCAATTCCCTGCAAAAGATAAATAAAGTTAGGCACTAATATTAACCATTTTATGTTGTGAGACCTTTTGCTGCAAATTTTGAACCACTTACTTTTGTATCTTGCAGCTGTGAAAGGGAACTCGGTGATGGTTCCATTGATACCGGCTCCATAGATATATGTGTTTATCTCAACAGTTGCATCTGAAAAGAAGTCAAATGCTTGAGAGACAAACTCATTCTGAAATAGTTCCACATAAACCGGGAGCTGAGACTTCTGCAGCCTCTGCACAACATTGGTTTCTCCAGTGAGGAAGAAATCAGCACTAGGAAAGACTGAATCTTTGTTGATGACAACAGCGTTAGCGAACTTCTTTATGTTTTCGATGGCCGAGTCATGAATATTACCAATGGTTTCTTCAATTTTGTAGACAGTCTCGTACGTGCCCTGATTCTTGAAGTCAACTAACACCGAACTGTTGGTTGATTGAATCATTACCTTTGTGGCTGTACTATTACTGTAGCCAGTATCTGTGAGTGTATCAAGAACCGCTTTAACCATGTCTAGCCCTTGCTTCTCTCTCAAGTATGCTGCATTCTGAGGGAAACAAAATAAAAACATAGCGGTGTGGTCATTAGAAGATATCTGTTAAGGTTTAACGCAATCGAATGAACCAAACACAAAACCCAGAGAGATGATCAATAACTCAAAACCCAGAGAATCAATATAACTTTCCGATCGATTTGAATAACGAAGTTTACAAATCGATAAACCAGAAAATCAACAATCAATCCGCAACAACAAGTTACGAATCAATCTCCGAGGTCGATCTCACACAGATCTTCCCTCACAAGCACGCAGGCTCGTCACACACACACAATCACAATAAAAGCATGAGAAAAGATAGATACAGAGCAACGGCTCTTTTATAGACGTTTGACAAAACGAACCCTCCACTTCATTCCAAGGCTTTGCTTCACGACTCATTTATTGCCACGTCATCTGTCTTCTTCTTCTTATTCCTCCGATAGTAGCCTTGATGGATCGTATCAATACACCCCCCCTGAAAAACAAGCTTGTCCTCAAGCTTGAAGGATGGGTATTGTTGGACGAAGTCTTTAGATAGCATCCATGAGTTTGGAACATCCGGAAACCCAGACCACTGAACCAAGACCTCGCGACCACCCGTAGCATTGTGTTGCATATCCAAGATCGTCGCAGGCAGTAACACGGAATCCTCTGCATCCGTAAGAGCTGGTAAGTCTGTTTGGAGCTGGTGATGAGACCCCAAGGATGCTTTCAACTGCGAAACATGGAACACTGGATGGATAGCCGCCGCTGGAGGAAGCTTTAGGCGGTAAGCCACCTTCCCAATTCTCTCACTAACCTCAAAGGGACCAAAAAATTTGGCAGCCAGTTTCTGACAGACCCGGCGAGTCACAGACTGTTGCCGATACGGTTGGAGTTTCAAGTAAACCCAATCCCCTACTGCAAACTCCACTTCTCTGCGTTTCAAGTCCGCACTGCGCTTCATCAACTGTTGTGCTCGTTCCAAATTCACCTTAATCTTGGCCAACATTGCATCTCTTTCTTGCAACTGAGCTGCCAGAGTAGTGTTGGCAGTAGAACCCTGCTCAAAACGGAGGACAGTAGGAGGGTCTCTCCCATAAACCACCTGGAAGGGTGATGTCTTCAGGGCAGAATGATAGGATGTATTGTAAGAAAATTCCGCCCAAGCCAGGTACTTAGCCCATGTGCGTGGGTGTTGAGAAGCAAAACAGCGCAAATAAGACTCCAAGCAACGGTTAAGCACTTCCGTCTGACCATCGGATTGGGGATGATATGCTGTACTGTACTGCAGCTTGGTCCCAGCCAGTTTAAACAACTCCTTCCACATAGAACTCAAAAACACTCTGTCACGGTCAGACACCAAAGTCTTTGGGAAGCCATGAAGACGAACCACTTCAGTGACAAACTTATGAGCAACATCAGAAGCTGAAAAAGGATGTGATAGCCCCACGAAATGTGCACACTTGCTGAAACGGTCAACCACTACCAGAATAGCATTGACACCTCCAGATTTGGGCAGCCCCTCAATAAAATCCAATGATAAGTCTTCCCAAACTCGGTCTGGAATGGGAAGAGGTTGTAACAACCCTGCAGGTGACAAAGTAGTTGATTTGTGTGTCTGGCAAACCTCACATTCTGATACATGTTTCTGAACATCCTTCTGTAACCCTTCCCAGTGAAACATAGTGTGAATCCGTTTCTTTGTCTTCAAAATACCCGCATGACCCCCAAGCTTACTGTCATGATACTCTTGTAATAGTAATGGAATGAATTTAGACTGTTTAGAGATAACCAGACGTTTCTTGTACCAAAGTTTACCCTGTTGCACTTGATGATTCACATATTTGTCTGGATTGGTTTGCACCAAAGCAATCTGAGCTTGTATTGTGGCATCCTCCTCAATCTCTTTGTAGATGTCTTGTAGTTGTAGCACTGCTGGAACAGTGAGTGCTAGCAATGACAGAGAAGAACACAACACAGGCTGAGGCATCCGAGACAACCCATCAGCAGCCTTGTTTTCAACCCCAGGCTTGTAAAAAATCTCCATATCAAACCCCAACAATTTGGTTAACCATCTCTGATACTCCATACTTACTTCCTTCTGCTCCAGTAAGTATTTGAGGCTCCTTTGATCTGTATGAACGACAAAACACCTGCCAATGAGATAGTGTTTCCATTTCAAGACGGCTAGCACAATGGCCATTAGTTCTCTTTCATAGGCTGGCTTGAGTTGCTCCCTGGGTGTCAAACCATGACTGAAGTATGCCAGAGGTCTGCCTGCCTGCATCAACACCGCCCCCACTCCCACACCAGAGGCGTCAGTCTCCACTACAAATTTTTGAGAAAAATCAGGCAAACCAAGCACTGGAGCAGACACCATGGCAACTTTGAGCTTCTCAAACGCTTGTTGAGCTGGAGGAGTCCACTCAAACTGGTCTTTGCGTAACAAGTCAGTCAATGGCTTAGCAATGACCCCATACCCCTGAACAAACTTTATGTAATACCCTGTCAGGCCTAAAAACCCTCTGAGTTGTTTCACATTAGTTGGTGTTGGCCACAATCGCATAGCTTCGGTTTTGGTGGAATCTGTAGCCACACCCTGCCGAGAAATAATATGTCCCAAGTACTCAACATGTGAGACACCAAAAGAGCATTTCTTCTTGTTGGCAAATAACACATGCTTCTCCAGTAACTGCAGCACCAACCGGAGATGCTCCACATGAGAAGTGAGGTTGTTACTGAAGACCAAGATATCATCAAAAAAAACCAAAACAAACTTCCGGAGAAATGGTTTGAAAATCTTGTTCATGAGTGCCTGAAAGGTAGCTGGTGCGTTTGTCAAACCAAAAGGAATCACAAGAAATTCATAGTGCCCCTCAAGTGTTCTGAAAGCTGTTTTCTCCACATCTTGCGGCTTCATCCTTATTTGATGATACCCGGATCGCAAATCAAGCTTGGAAAAAATAGTAGACCCATTCAGTTCATCCAACAACTGGTCAATAACCGGAATAGGAAACTTATCCGGGACTGTCACTTTGTTGAGGGCTCTGTAATCAACACAAAATCGCCAAGAGCCGTCTTTCTTCTTGACCAATAACACTGGGCTGGAGAAAGGACTGGTGCTAGGTTGTATGATCCCAGAAGTCAGCATATCCCCTACCAATGACTCCATTACTTCTTTCCTGGCATGAGGATAACGGTAGGGCCTGACATAGATAGAAGTGACACCAGGATAAAGAGTGATTGCATGCTCCTGACCACGCAATGGTGGTAACCCAGAAGGCAAAGCAAACACAAAAGGAAACTGATGCAACAACTCATCTACTGCAGGAGGTACCAAAGAAACAGGGGCTGGAGGCTCACTCCCCTTCAGCACAGCCAACTGAGTCTTAGTATGTCCAACAGCAAGAGGTGCACCTAACCTTTTCAAAGACAGGGGAGACCTATGTAAAGTAGGATCTCCATGCAAGAGTACTGGTTCCCCATTATACATAAATCGCCATTCCTGCAATTTCCAGTCTACTTCACATTTTCCCAATGTTTCCAGCCATTGAACTCCAAGAATAACATCAACACTCCCCAACTCCAGTGTGATGAAATCATTTGTGAATCCAACGCCAGACAACTGAAAATGTACTCCTTTACAAACCCCTAACCCCTGAACAATAGCTCCATTTCCCAACAGGATATCCAAACTTGCATCAGGTGTAACTTGCAGTTTCAATTTTTGAGCCAAAGCAGGAGTAAGGAAATTGTGGGAAGCCCCACAATCAATCATGAGAATTACCCTGTGCTTACCAATCCATCCCACCAACTTGGTAGTCCGGGGAGAATGCAACCCCATGAAAGAATTGAAAGACAAAGTCTTCAACTCAGTGACAGGTGCCATATCCAACACCCCTTCTTCTTCAGTGCACTCGATCATATTCTCCTCCAACACTTCTAATTCATAACCATTAACCACTGTCATCACACGCAACTCACGCATAGGACATTCATGCCCTCTGAAATACTGGCCCTTGCATTTAAAACAAAGGCCCTTACTGCGCATAGCATCCAACTCTGCATCATTATGGCGTATACGCGGACGACCCAGAGGCTTTGGACTGCTCTCTGGAGACTTCCCAATAGAAGAACTTTGAGGAATCCCTACTGGTTTAGGAGCATTGGAAGTAAACACTGGCCGTGCAGGTGGAGGAATAGGCTGACTTTGTTGCTTCTTTCCTTCACCAGTTTCACCAACCAATTTGCAAAAAGAGCTTGATTCCATTTTCAACACCGCTGTAATGTGATTTGGAAGTCCCTTAGGTTCTTTCATTTTGATCACCTCCTTCATCTCATGCTTAAGACCATTATAAAAAATTTTCTCCAAGTGTGTATCATCCAACCCCATCACTTGAGAAGATAAATCCTGAAATTCAGTGATGTATGCAGCCACTGATCCTACCTGTTTAATGGCAAATAGTCTATTCCCCGGTTCATCATCAATCGTACCCCCAAAATGAATCAACAAACGATTCTTAAACTCCTCCCAAGACCCAAAATCACGACGCGAAACCTCCCAGTTAAACCATTTCAACACATCCCCTTCCAAACTTAAGGAAACCAAATCCAACCTAGCCGCATCGCTAAAACGACCCACCCGAAAAAAACGCTCCACCTGTGAAATCCAAGCATACGGCTGCGATCCAGTAAACACAGGCATCTTAATTTTTTTTAACAGATTTTCGCGAGTTTCCAGAGGTAACCCCGATGATCGAGTTTCCGACGAGTGGAGATCAGGAAGAATCTGACCCGAAAACGACTGTCGGGAAGGCTCACCATCATCAACGTGTTTTCCAGCTCGAATCTCCAAACGATCCAACGTTTTCACCACCGATTTGAGCAACTCTTCCAACGACACAAGCTTAGACTCCGTCTCCACCTTCGCTTCACACAAACCCTGAAAACCCAAACGCAAATTCCTCATCTGCACATATATTGCATCAGAAGAACCCGTATCTTCTTCAAACACATCAGATCCATCGCGATCCATGATCAACACACGTAACGAACCAGTTTCACCGCACCAATGTTAAGGTTTAACGCAATCGAATGAACCAAACACAAAACCCAGAGAGATGATCAATAACTCAAAACCCAGAGAATCAATATAACTTTCCGATCGATTTGAATAACGAAGTTTACAAATCGATAAACCAGAAAATCAACAATCAATCCGCAACAACAAGTTACGAATCAATCTCCGATGTCGATCTCACACAGATCTTCCCTCACAAGCACGCAGGCTCGTCACACACACACAATCACAATAAAAGCATGAGAAAAGATAGATACAGAGCAACGGCTCTTTTATAGACGTTTGACAAAACGAACCCTCCACTTCATTCCAAGGCTTTGCTTCACGACTCATTTATTGCCACGTCATCTGTCTTCTTCTTCTTATTCCTCCGATAGTAGCCTTGATGGATCGTATCGATATCATGGTCCGTTTGTTAAAATCTCAAGAATAAGAGCTCCACGAGAACTCACCTCTACATTGATCAAAACATGGGAGAGAGAAGTGGAGTTTTTTGCCAAATTTAGGAATTCAGAAAGAAAAATAAGTTTCCCAAAATTTCTCTCTTTGGGATTCCTAAACATACTGTACATCCTGTAGGGGTTTACCATAGCAGCTGCACCAAAAGATGGGAGAATAGTTATTATAACTCTCAAGTTATGTAATGTCTAAAGTGGCCCGTAATTTTTACCACAGCATATCAAGCTAGGAGAATGTAAAATTATTAAGAAAATAGATACGTAACCTCTTTAAGTTAAATAGGATCAATAGAAAGAGTAGCTCTCTTACTAGTCACTATAAATAGAAGGAACAAGAGTATGGAGAGAAGACTAGAATTTTTCTGAAACATTTAGACAATTTTAACGGAAACTTACGAGTTAAGGTCTGGATCTCAGGCCATGTGAGACTGAAAGTGTATATGCCACCAACTGAGCTGAACTCAGGAACAGTTGTTGATAGGTTTCTGAAAAACGTTAGGACGACCATTGTGCTTTTCGTGAGATCGATCGAACTTGAGCAAAAGGGTGTACTGTCGCTAGACATTTGGACTAAGCAATCGATAACATTAGCACCATCTTTGATTGCCTTCTCATATGCCAAGTTTGTACATCCAGGATAGTCCCCACTCGCACCATTTTTCGATATAACTGTGGCCACCCCTACTTCAAGCTTGATTGTGGCAAAGGATTCGCAGAGCTAACCATCTCCTTTGCGACATACAGAATCTTAGAAGCTAACTATGACTCTCGTATCATAAGACTCGCAAGATTGGATTATATTGACAATCTTTGTCCCCCATACGCACTAAATGCGTCATTCCTTACCAGCGTCCTTCCATTCGCTCTTCACACCGAGATGCTAACAATTTATTACAGCTGCCAAAAATGGTCATCTCTTAATGCTTACTTTGGAGAGCTTCATTGTGAGGGTGACAAAAAAACTATAACAAACTACTATGGGACGAGAAACCTCTCATCTCCTTCACTATACGGAAGTAGTGGCTTTTTATTTGATAACTTGAGGGGAAATTGCCAAAAAGGCGTCAGTATACCAGTGTATGGATCGGCGTCAAACACATTGCGTTTGGATAATCTACAGAAGAATCTTGAAAAGGGTTTCCAGGTTGAGCATAATCAAGACTGTTCAAGGTGCATAGAATCTAAGGGTGCTTGTGGATACAATCAGACTACAAGAAGTTTTGTCTGCTATTGTAAGGATGGGACTTATGGCAACAATTGTGGCTCTGGAAAGGGTAGTCATGGTAAACCATTATATTCACTAAGTTTTTTTCTTTCTTTTTATCTTAACCTTTCGAGATAAGTTTGGTTCCATTCTGAGAAATATTACTTTCTAATGGTTATACAGGGAATTTTTTCAATAGAATTCGCATAGGTAAATTCCTTGCCAGAGAGACTATGAATTGTTATCAATTCTTAAATCAATAAAAAGTTACTAAAGCTAACATTGTCTCCGGTTTTCACTTTCAGGTGAGAAAAATAAGACTGAGAAAACAGAACCTGAAGGCTCTTATCCCACTCGAACACTATACTTACGCACAAGTGAAGAGAATTACAAAGTCGTTTGAGGAAGTGGTTGGGACAGGCGGATTTGGAATTGTTTATCGAGGAACACTTGGTGACGGCCGTATGGTTGCGGTGAAGGTCTTGAAAAAGTCAAAGGGTAATGGTGAAGACTTCATTAATGAAGTTGCCAGCATGAGCAGAACTTCTAATCAAAACATTGTTTCCTTGGTTGGTTTCTGCTCGGAAGGTTCTAAAAGGGCAATTATATATGAGTTTTTGGAAAATGGGTCACTTGATAAGTTCATTTCAGGCAAAAGCTCGGTGAATTTGGATTGGACGGCTCTATATAGTATTGCGCTAGGAGTTGCTCGTGGTCTAGAGTACTTGCACCATGGATGCAAGATAAGGATTGTACATTTCGACATTAAACCACACAAAATGTACTCCTAGATAACAATTTCTGCCCCAAAGTTTCGGACTTTGGCCTCGCTAAGCTCTGTGAGAAGAAAGAGAGCATCTTGTCGATACTGGACACAAGAGGTACAATAGGGTACATTGCACCAGAGATGATCTCCAGAGTTTATGGGAATGTGTCCCACAAGTCAGATGTGTATAGCTATGGAATGTTGGTTCTTGATATGATTGGTGCAAGGAACAAAGAAAAAGCTTATCAATCCTCTGCTTCTACCACTAGTACAATGTACTTTCCTGAATGGATCTATAAGGATCTTGAGAAGGGAGACGATGGAAGGCTTAATAGGAATGGAATCATCTGCGAAGAAGAAGATATAATAAAGAAGATGACAAGGGCGCCGGCCCTACATATTCAACCTTCTCCCACAGATCGCCCACCGATGAACAAAGTTGTAGAGATGATGGAAGGAAGCTTGGATGCTCTAGAAGTCCCTCCTAGGCCTGTTTTTCAAATTCCAACATTGCCTCTACAAGAATTTTCAATATTTTCAGAGGATATTTCTGGTAACAAAGATGGATGATCCAAGAAGCCTCCGTGGAACCTGTAGAAGCACGAAAATAACTATACATTTATTCAAAAATGTCATCTCTTATCTTATTTCTGGATTAACAAGAGGATTTTTCGGTTCAACTGTTTTTTCTGATTATGTTAAGCTAGTTAACATTTGTTTTATTAGTCTACTTGCACATGGCTAAATCATTTTACTAAACAAAAAAGTTTGAGCTAGTTTGTCTATTGACTATGTTCAAGCTAGTTAGTAATGATTTTGCGATATAACGTTCGAGTGTAACTCAAGATGTCATCAGGTCCTAGACCATTTTTCTTTTAGAACCAGCACACTAAACTACTACTTCATCTTTGTTGTTGTTTGCAAAAAAAACTACTGTCTCAATTCTCGGGAGACAGTAATATATAATGAACAATGTATGTCACAATTATTAACAGAACCCATTTATGGGACTAGAAGTCTAGAACAATGGAAGCATGAACGCTAACATTCATAGTATTCACGGAGTCATAGCTAAACCTTAATACTTGCTCTTGTTCAGCTTTAAATTGATGACTTTTCTTTTTGTTTGAAAGAATAAATTTGAATTGATGACTTTTCGAGTCGCATTCCCACTAAAAATTTAATTCCATGTTTTACCTCATTTTCCGAGAAAGACGTTTAGGTGGTGATATAGACAAAGATTTTAGATATTTATCTAGCAAATGACGAAGTCCAATACTATTCATATCCAATAGCCAATCTTTATCTGTCTCAATTTTGTGTGTTTTGGCTAAAATAACTTCACGAAGTGACGACTCTTTCTGAGTCAACTAGTCACTGTATTGGTCCACTATGGCATCATGAGTCAACTAATAAAGCCATTTGATTAATTCTCTTGAGTCTCTCTGTATTTGTTCACTATGAGTCAACTAATAAAGCCAATTGATTAAAACAAGCTCTTGACTCTGTCTCTCTGTATCTCTATTTCTGTTTTGCCATTTATGTGGTGTAACCTAACCTAGTGTACTTATGTAATTTACAGATAAATTTCTTGGAGTTGAATATTTAGTTAAACCTGCAACAAGAGAATGCTTTCATGAGAAGAAGAACAGAGCAAAGCGTCAAAGAAGAAGACGCCTCGGAGAAGATGAAGTTGACCGAGAAAAGGGCAACGAGAAGTAAACAAAGTCAACCAGAAGTAGATGTTGGGCTTTGTGTTGTTTTGGTATCATCAAGAAGGTTAATGGGCTGCGGAATAATGAGGCCCAAAATAAGGGTGTGTGTTGTTGTTAGAGTAAGGAATAAATAATTGTTGTAGTTAATTGTGGTTGCTTTTGAAGGTCTAGGTCTTACTTCAAGATGCTTTTTTTTTGTCATTTGGAATTATATTTATCGAAAAGATGAGATATACAACACAACCCCAAGAGGTCATACGACTGCAAGTGAGCACAAGAACTCCAACTTAAGCCAGCCAAAACTAAGCCACATACTAACAAAAGAATAAACTCCACCCTCGGAGTTAACCAACACAAAAACTCAAATTCAATCAAAGGCCACAGTCCTTTCCTCAGCAAAGACACCTTCAAGCCATGAAGGATGATTATACCGTTTACACGTGACATAAGATTGAAGTCTACACTCATTCGTCACACTCTTAGCAATGAGTAAGGCACCTCTGTTTGAAAATGAGTTTTCCAAAAGAATTCTCCAAGCCTAGAAAGACTTGAGAGCTAATATTAGCTTTATGAAAATGGTTGTTCCATTGCTGTATTGGTTCGCTTCGAACTTTTCAGTCTCAGAGTTTTTGAACAAACATATGGCCGATTCGTTTTGAAGTGCAGTATTGCTAGACCTCTAGATACGTAAAATTTAATTATTATTGGTTTGGTATACAACAAGAACCAAACAAATTTGCTTGAGTTAATTAAGTAATCTATGTATAGGGGAAACCAAGAAAAATATCACATTTCCTGGTGACAAGTAGTCACGTATGGTGTTGGATAACAAGTTCCACCAACTATCCAAGCCTGACTTACTACCCCTTGAGGATCCTTTCAATGGCCGATTTTACGTTCTGAACAAATCAGAGATCGAAGATAATGAATGGATTCTTCTCTATTTAGAACTTGCTGTTGCCACATCTTTCAGGAACCATACCAAACATGGTCTAACCAGTTTGAAGATTCTGAAAGTAGCTATGGAAATTCCACCAAGCCTGGTGGAGCCTTTTAATAAGGGACTTGACGCCTATGATGCAATTTTCTACATTAGCTACAAGGACTTTTGCAAGGCTCGGGTTGGTAAGGATGTCGATCGCATTGCTATAGTCAGAAGATTATTGGATCCGCAATTGAAAATCTTAAGACTCGGCGGTCGTACTCAGAGCTCACAAACCATCAAACCATCAAATACCATGGAAGCTGGCTCCTCCTCGTCGATGGATCTAGACTAATGATAAGTTATTTGCTACGTTCAGATTCAAACTGCTCTAATCATTATTTGAGCTTACATGTGAATCATTTTTGGCTCTAGAGATCAAATTAAGGATTGAATCAGATGGATCAATCCCTGTATCAATCATCTTCTCAACCAAACCCTCAGCTTCTTTCGATTTTCGTTCTTTACAAAGAACTTCAATCATATATCTATAGCTAGCAACATTTGGAGGCAACTCTTTCTCTTCCATCTCCCTGAACAACCTCAATGCTCTATAAGAACTACCTTCCTTGCAGTACCCGAGAACCATTGTATTGTATATCACTTTGTTCGGTTCTAACTTCTTTGCGACCATCAACTTAAAAAGCCTCGATGCTTCATTCATTTGACCTTTGATGCAAAACCCATGAATCAATACACTATAGGTATGAACATCCGGGGTTAAACCGAGTTCCTCCATTGGTGATCGAAGCTGAATTGCTTTCTCCATGTTATCCATACGAGCAAATGTGTCGATAAGTATCGTGTATGTTATTTTCGACGGTTTAATCCCTCTCTCTTCCATCTCCTTAACCACCTTACCTGCTCCTGAAGTATCCCCTTTCTTACAAAACCCGGAAACTAGAATATTATACGTGACAAGAGACGGAGACAGACCTCTTGACTTCAAATCTCTGCATAAACTCAACGCCTTCCCCAATTTTCCCACGCCACAAAACCCATCAATCAAAGTGTTATACGTAATCAGATTCGGGTTGATTCCATCACTCTTCATTTGATCCATAACCTTATTAGCTTCATTCGCCTTCATCTCTCTACATAACCCACCAATCAAAGTATTATAAGTAACAATGTTACAAGAAACTCCTCTCTCACGCATTTCGTCGAACAGTTTAAACGCATCTTTAGTTCTTCCATCTTTACAATGCTGATTCATCACGCAGTTATAAGTATAGAGATTAGGGAAAACACCATCTTCCTGCATCTTCTCGTACATCTCAAACCCTTGTTTCTTAATCCCATTTTTGAATAACCCATGAATCAAAACCGTGTAAGTCCATTCATTAGCCACTAATCCGAACTTCCCCATCTCAAAAAACAAATCTTTCGCCTTCTCAATCTCTCCTCTCTTGCAACACCCATCAATCAAAGTAGTGTAGATAACAACGTTTGGAGAAAACCCAAACTCTCTTAATTCAACAAGAAGATCAAAACTTTTCTCAATCTCACCAGCTTCACAACAACCTTTGATCACAATCCCAAAGCTATATACATCTAAATCAACTTTGATTTTGCTCTCGTTGAAGAAACGCCACCATTGATTGAAAGAAGAAGACCCAACAACGAAAGTTAAGAGATTGTTGAAGCAATTCGATCCAGGAACAAAACCCTTATCGACCATTTCGTTGAAGTAAGAGATTGAGGAATCTAGGGATTGAGATTGAACATAGGCATTGATCATTACCTCGTAGAGACGAGACTTGGTTTCTGACGTTTCTGATTCTGTCACATAGTGTAGCAGAGAGGAAGATGTGAAGAATTGGGATTGGATCTTTCCGGAGATTACTTGAAGGAGAAGTGATTGAGCGTGAGAGTATAAGTTTCCAGAGAGAAGGAGACGAAGAAGGATTGATATGGATTCGTGTGTGTGTTGAAATCCATGGAAATTTGGAGAATTTAAGAGAGAGAAAGCTTTTAGTGGAGGAACCTTGATTAGAGTTGCTAGTAGAATGAGGGTTTTCTGGGATTTTGCCGCCATGGTAGATTAGATAGGTTTAAACATTGAGGCGTCGAAGAAGAAGAAGAAGAAGAAGCCATAGCTGAGCTTAATTAAGCATCATGAACAGTTAGATTAATCTTAGTTTTTATTATTTTTAAAAAGAAAAGCCCATTTATTATGGGCTAGATTAAACGTAAGGCCCATATTTTGTTTAAAGTCGGTTCGTTGATCCATAGATACAGGTAACCCGAAAAAACGTGCTATATATATATTCTTTTCGAGGCAAATCTGAATATGCAGCGGTAAAAAAAAGCTAAAGCAACAAAGAGAAAATAGATAGGTATTTCCATGAAGAGATCACGAGAAGAATTTCAAGGTGGCCGCAATAACAGATTTGTTGATGAGGTATCGTCTTCTCTTCTCAATTCTCTCTGTTTTTCTACATCGTACTCTGTTTTTACTCTGCTCTTTCCTCTATGTTTCTAGTGTTTTCTCTGTTGTCTCGTACTCTCTTCTTCGTTTTGTTTCATCCTCTGTTTTATTTTTTCTTTGGTACAGTAAAACCTCTATAAATTAATACTCGATAAATTAAGAACCTCTCTAAATTAATAATTTCTTCCGGTCCCGAGTTGAGACCAATGTAAAAAATGACACAAATCGATAAATTAATAAAATAATAACTTTTTAAAAAATTCTATGTAAACATATGGTCCCATCAATATTATAAATTAATAATTATATAAAATTATCAAAATATATATTATCTAAAATATTTTATTGGCATATGACTCTAGTATTTTTTGTTTTTCTTAAATTTGTATTAATTTTTAGTAGAGTTTAATTTTAATATTTTTACTACCTCGAAAAAATTTTGTGTTGGTTTTTAAACTTAATAATTGATTTTCTACTTATAATTGGTTTCAGAAAGAAATTTATTATAAGAAAAAACTGCTTTTCAGATATAGCATTTCTTTTAAATTACAAAGTTAGTAAAATCTCTCAATAAATTAATAGTTATTAATTTATCGATAAATTAATATCTCTATAAATTAATAGAATTTTTTGGTCCTGACATTATTAATTTAGAGGATTTAGAGGTTTCACTGTAATTTTTTTTAGATAGTTTAAGCCTGATCTTGAGAAGAATTAGGGTTTTAGGGTTTTAAGTTGTTAGAAAATATTCTCTAGATATATTTGGTTTTAAATCTAATTTAAGATTCATTTCACTAAAAGAAAACGTTTATTTCTTTGTCATCTTCTTCTTCAACGTAGGATCTCTCTGATTATTATCTCTCAGATATTGTTAGTTATGTTTTATCAAATACTAGATTAGGACTCGCCCGATGTGCGGGTTTAAAATAAAATAAAATTTAACAAAAAGGTATATTAAATTTTTATTGTGAATAGAAATATTTTTAAGAAATAAAAAGATAAATTATTAATTACAGAGAAAATTTGATTATATATTCATCCTTTTGTTTTTAATACACTTATTTTCATTTCTATATTTTAAATTTTATTGCATTTATTATAATAATCAAGTAAATTACCAAACAACAAAAGTTTTGCCAAAAGATTCATTATTATTATTATTATTATTATTATTATTATTATTATTATTATTATTATTATTATTATTATTATTATTATTATTGTTATTATTATTATTATTGTTAAATCTAGAAAACATGGTTTGCAATTTTGCGTAAAATATGATTCCAGAACTTCTTCATGAAATATTTCACTTATAAACGACATATCAAACCGTCGTTTTATTTACATTTCTTTACAAATTTAATAGTGGAAAACCAAAAATTTTTATGGTATTTTTCGAACATTATACTAATAGTAGTATTTTTGGCAACAAAAAAAAACTTGAAAGGGTGGTATTTTAAGACATTTTATAAAAATATATCACACATCAATAACTGATGATGTATTTATAATAAAAAGTACTAAATAAATAGGAGAAGTAGTGGTGTTTTTGAAGAAACTATTTTGTTGGTGAAAAATTAGGAGACAGTCTATTTGTTTAGAGATGAGTATAGTTTTTCTTTTAAGATTAATAATTATTTGTATAAGTTTCTTAATTATCGTGTTTTATTAATTATTTTTAATTAGTATTTTCCTAAATACTTTTTTCTCATATTTTCTAAGAAAATAGTATATATCTTTTAGAATTAGTACTTAAATTAGAATTAGTACTTAAATTAGAATTAGTAAATACTTTTATAATTTCTATTTTTAGATAATAAGATCTACGTATATTTTTCTTATATTATCTTTTAATATTTTTAAAAATATGTATATAGTTTCTTATAATTATCTTTGTTAGATTTTTAGAATTTTAGATTTGTTTGATATAAGATATATACGTATAGTTTTCTTATAATTTTTTTAAAAATAAATAAAAGGAAATTTTTTATCTACGAACGTGTCAAAATTTGAAAACCATACTTTATATAATAAGATTTGGCTATAATATTTGGAATGCACATTTATGATTTATTCTCAATGTTTTTTCAGGTTTCACGTCTAAACTTGCCTCTAACAACGACTCCGGAGCTTATAAACAAGATTGAAACTTACCTCAATAGAAACTACACATGTCCTCATCAACAAATAGAGAACTCAGAGACCTCAACTCTTCTTAAGAGTTCTGAGAAACTAAAAGCTATGAATTTCCCAATCTCAATGATCAAAATTGGAACATGGACCCCCGTTGCAATAAACCCTGAAGATATTGTGGCGAAATTCTATTTTGCAAAGAAGAAACTTATATGGGAGTTTCTCTTCGGAGAAGAAGAAACTAACATGCCAAGGCTGAAGAGAAAGATTGAGATTCAATGGAATGATGTCTCATCTTTTGAAGAGAGTATTCATACTCGTGATGAAACTGGAATCCTCAATATCGAGGTACTAAACATACTCATGTACATTTTGTAATTAGTTATGAGCCTCGATTAATGACCTTTAAAATGTTTATGTGCAGTTGAGAAAACGTCCAACATTCTTCATAGAGACTAATCCACAGGCAGGAAAACACACTCAATGGAAACAATTGGATCGCGATTTCACCGACAATCAGGCTTCTACTTGCAGGTTTCCTGCTTTAACTTGGATCATTTTTTTTGCTTTGAGTAATGTTGAAAGTGAGTCAAAGCCTTACATTTTCTATTTAACAGGAGACATACAATTCATTTTCCTCCCGGAGTTCTGCAAAAGAACTTGGAGAAGCTTCTAACTAATAGCTTCTGGTCCAAACTCTACAACGTCCCTTTCCCGGTAGAAGAATCTCTTTTCTTCGATATCGGCTTTGAAAACAACAACTCATCTCACAACAGCCACAACCTGACAGTTGGCTTTAATGTCAACTATGGCCATCAGCATCATCATTATTCTCAAGGTACTTTAGCTTGGACCTTACGCTAATCAATTTTTATTTGAGTGAGAGACTTAAAAGAAACAAAAACCATTACTTTGATAGGAATTGGTGGCGTGGGAGTTGGAGAAGGAAACTTTAACATAGCACCGCAGTTCAGGGCTAACGGTGGATGGCAAAGAAACTCATATAGTCAAGCCAATAGTCTGAATTATAACACTGCTAATGAGTTGCCTCGGATGCAAGCTATTATCACACCATCGTCTCAGGTGGTTAACATGCAAATGGATTTCACCGGTTCACAGTATCGTAATCAGATGAACCAAGACGAGATCCGAAAGATGCAAATCATAAGGGAGATAGTTCAGAGTCAAACATATGCTGCAGTAGCTGATACACAAACTAACAATATCCCAATGTATCCTCCGGTTGGATCGTTTGCAACAACATTGATTGAAGAAGAGGAGAGACAGTACAAGGACCAGACAAACGTGGATGGAGACTATCACAGCAAAGAGTACCAGAAAATTCCATACATACGCAGCAGCAATTGGGAAGTGCTTCCTGGTATGGACGTAGAAGAAGATTGGTCAACATAATTATTAGGGTTTTGTTCATTTATGGATCAATGATGTATGGTTTCATGACAAGTCTGTTTTTGGATCTACTATTTGGTTTATTTTGTTATTAGGCTGGTTTCCTGAATGGCTATATAGGGATCTTGAATATAGAAAGTTCATAAGACTTATAGAGAATTAATGGAATCAACAATGGAGACGATGATCTAGCAAAGAAAATTGTTGTTTGGGCAGCAAAGAAATACCACCTTACATGTTACATGTTCAACCGGGTGGCCTCTTAAACGTTATGAGTCCTCTGTTCTTTCCTCCGGCCCAAGCTCCAAACCAAATTTTCACAGATGTTGATGTCACTGAGCCACCACTACCACCAATTATAGCAAAAGCCCCAACCTCAACCCCTAGAATCACACCAACCATTTCACATCTAAGTACTTTGGTCAAAGCAATTAGCATATGTGGGTTTTGCTAGCCAGAGAAATTTCAATTTGTTTTCTAGTTGCAGGTTCAGTAGCGGGAGTTGTTTTGTTCATTGTCGAACACTATACTTATGCAAAAGTGAAGAAATTTGCAAAGTCATTTGCAGAAGTTGTTGGCAAAGGCGGATTTAGATGACAATTTTTGCCCCAAAGTTTCGGACTGTGGTTTTTAGGTGTTGCTTTCAAATCGGTTTATGGGTTTCAAGTTTATTTTTGGGTGCTGATTTCAAATCGGTTGCTTGGTTTTGTTGTGTCTTTTTCGATTTCCTCAATTTAATTTCTTGAATTTGATTGGATAGTGAATTGATTTTCTGGGTTTTGGTTGGAGACTGAACAAACATGTCACCAAGAATAACAAACACAATTTGGGAACGCATATGGTAATTGATGAAGTTCCATACTACTCAGTCGACTTCTTATTCGATTCTCTATTCTTCTTCCTAATTTTTCTTTTTCGACATTTTTTTTTCATTTATTCAGATTTTTTTTTTTGAAATTTATAAATAAAATAATTTTAGTAAAACGAAATATAAATATAAATTATTTTTTATTCAAATAAAAGTAAAAATTATTGCCACGTTATTTAAAATTAATGATATATTCTAATTGTAAAGGTAAAATTGGAATTTTATTTTTGTTATAAAACCGTAAGTATGAAAATAACAATATTTTATTTTTATAGGTATTAAATCGTATATTTTAATTATTATGTGTTTTTTCTTCCAACCAAAATAATTTAGGTATTAAACGTCCAAATAAAAAATAAACCAAAGTTTTTTTGAGTTTTTTCCCTATATCTAAAATAAGTTTAACAAGATATCTAATTCACTTTACACTAGTTTTGGTTTTGATTGACAAAGAATTCTAATGATTTGTCTCGAGAAAATATTCTACCAAAAAAATTTCCTCTTCAGTATTGTACAAAAAGTGATCCCTATAGAAAATTTTCGGACAAAATCATAAAACTAGTAATAAATTTTACGAATCAATGCAACTTAAAGTTGTAAAAATATTTTATTCTATGTGGCTATATGTCTTTCGGTTTAATCGTAAAGTTCAAGTTCATACTAATGTTAAGGATTCTAATATTAAAGACGATACCGTGATAGATCGGTTTCGATTAAAGAATTAGAATTCGGGTGTGTTGATAACCCTCGTCCCTTACCATTGTATTTTAATTTTTATCTTTCTAATGTATTCATATATATAATTAATGAAAGGTAATTAATATATTATTATGTTAATTACATGAACGTTATTATATATATTTATGGGAGACTCACAAAAATGCCTCTTTTTTAATACTCCTTTTCAAAAATGCCCCCTTTGGCTGTCCATTTTTAAATATAACCCTTTTTATGTACAAAATGACTAAATTACCCTTCTTTTAATAAAAAATATCACAAATATATAAGAAAAACATGAGAATGTGCACACATCAAAATTACAAATTTGATTTTGTAAAAACTTTAAAATACCTTGTAAAATTTTTCCCGCCAAAAAAATTTTTCTGCGGGAAAAGTGATTCCGCAATTTTTTTGGCGGGAAAAATTTACAAGGTATTTTAAAGGTTTTTTACAATGTATTTTAAAAGGTTTTACAACGTATTTAAAAGGTATTTATAAGATATTATAATATTTTATAAGCTATTTTATAAGGTTTTACAAGTTATAAGGTTTTACTAGTTTTTTATAAGGTTTTACAAGTTATAAATATATTATAAAACCTTATAAGTACCTTGTAAAACCTTTTAAAATACATTGTAAAACCTTACAAAACACTTGTAAATACTCTGTAAAAACCTTTTAAATACCTTGTAAATTTTTCCCGCCAAAAAAATTTCGCCAAAAAAATTGCGGAATCACTTTTCCCGCAAAAAAAATTTTTTGGCGGGAAAAATTTTTACGGGAAAATTTTACAAGGTATTTTAAAGGTTTTTACAAGTGTTTTGGCGGGAAAATTGCAGGATCACTTTTCCCGCCAAAAAATATTTTGTATTTTGTGGATCTAATTTTGTCTCAAATAAGGGTAAAATGGTCATTTAAAATTAAAAGAGGGCAAACTTAAAAATAGACTCTCAAAGGGGGCATTTTTGAAAAGAGGTATTGAAAAATGGACATTTTTAACAATTTCTCTATATTTATTATTAAGTGGGGGTTAATTTAAGTGGTGGTTACGTACGTACGTGAGTTATTGGTGACTATTGGTCACATATAAGCAGAGCCTCGAATGTAGTTATTAATATATCGGCCTTCTTTTTTCCAAAATTCTCTTATAGGTTAACTGGTTTAAATGTTTGCTTGAGGAATGTGAGGTTGAGGGTTTGATTCTCATATGGTGAAATATGGTGGATAACTCTGTAAGCACCAACTAATCCAGTTAAAAAAGGAGTGTAATAACTTGAAACAAAGTCACCACCACTTGGCTCGAAAAGAATATCAAAAACCAAGAAAAGAGTAAAAAGATCCACCTCTCTTTTGCTCAAGTTCGATAGATCTCACGAACAACACAATGTTTTAACTCCTTGAAAAATCGTTCAACAAATGTTCCTGAGATTAACTCAGTTGCTGGAATATACACGTTTAGTTTCACATGGTCTGAGATTCAGAGTTTGACTCGTAAGTTTCCCTTCTAATTTTTCAATTGCTTCAGTGAAATGTTGGTCTGCTTTACACACACTTGTTCCTACTATTTGTAGTAACTAATTAGAGAGCTCTTTTTTCCAGTCCTATTTAACTTCACATATAAATGCAAATATTTGGCTTCTTAACAATTTTAAATTCTCCTCTTTAGAGATTACATAATTTAGAGATATAGTGGCTATACTTCACTCTTTTTGTGCAGCTGCTTTTTCAAACTCCTACATGGTCATTTGCAGAAGTCGTTGGGAGAGGCGGATTTGGAATTGTATACTGTGGAACAATTGTTGATGGCCGTATGGTTGCGGTGAAAGTCTTGAAGGACTAAAAGGGTAATAGTGAAGACTTCATTAATGAAGTTGCTAGCATGAGCAGAACTTCTCATCTCAACATTGTTTCCTTGCTTGGTTTTTATATATGACTTTTTGAGAAATGAGTCTCTTGATAAGTTCATCTCAAGCAAGATCTTAGTGAATATGGAGTGGACGACACCATATAGAATTGTGCTAGGAGTTGGTCGTGGTCTAGAGTACTTGCACCATGGATGCAAGACAAAGATTCTATATTTTGACATTAAACCACAAAATGTACTCTTAGATGACATTTTTTCTCCCAAAGTTTTGGACTTTGGCCTCGCTAAGCTCTGTGAGAAGAAAGAGAGCATCCTGTCATTGCTGGACACAAGAGGTACAATAGGGTACATTTCACCAGAGATGATCTCTAGAGTTATGGGAATGTATTGCACAAGTAAGATGTGAATAGCTATAGAATGTTGTTTCTTCAGATGATTGGTGCAAGGAACAAAGAAAAAGATAATCAGTCATCTTCTTTTAGCACAAGTTCAATGTACTTTCCTGAATGGTATATAGGGATCTTGAATTAGGAAAGTCAAGAAGACTTATGGAGAAGGGAATCAGCAACGAAGACGATGATCTAGCAAAGAAGATGACATTGGTGGGTTTGTGGTGTATTCAGCCTTTCCCACCAGATCGCCCACCAATGAACAAAGTTGTAGAGATGATGGAATGAAGCTTGGATGCTCTTGTACGTTTTTCAAATTCCCACCGTGCCTCTACAAGAATCTTCAACATTTTCAGCGGATATCTCTGGTTACACTGAATGATAATCCAAGAAGCCTCTTGGAACGTACATACCTAAGCATGAAAATAGCTATTTATATATTCAAAAAATGTCATATATTGTCTTACATTCTGGATTAACAAAGATGACTTGTCTGTTAAACTAGTTTTTTTTTTACTATGTTAAACTAATTAATACAGATTGATATCGCGAGAAAACGTTCGACTTGTCACACCAAAACATGGAATGATGGAATCAAGACTATACATCTACAAATAACTCAATCTGTCATCAGACTAGACCTTTTTCTTGTGGGAAAAAAACAGAAAACTTAAAAAGAATATTCTTGTAAATGCTCGTTGGTGTTTCATGTTTGGTTGATAAGTTAAATTAAAAGGACGAATACAAAAGTATGTAGGATAAGGTGTGGTATATGTTTACCAACAAGTCCCTCTCATTCATTCCCCACTGATGTTTTTTTCCATGTTTTATCTCATTTTCAGAGAAAATTCTTAGGAATAGACGTTTAGGTGGATAATAATCAACAAAAGTTTTAGAAATCGTAACAAAAAAAAAAATTTAAGGGCAAAGATTATTATTATTTATTTTATTTTTTTTCATCTCAAAAATTATTTATCATAGTTAATCGAGCAAATGGCCAGTACTATTCATTTGTAGTTTTTCTTCACCACCTTTTTAATCTAACCTCAAATAACCAATCTCTCTCTGTCTCAACTTTGTGTGTGTTTGGCTTAAAATCAATTAAAAACAACTTAATGAAGAGACTAATAACAAAACCATTTGATTTATAAAAGATTTATAAAAATAAAGGCTCTTGTGTCTCACTGTCTTGGCTACTATGAGTGCGTGAAGAGCCATTTGATTTATGATCTTGAGTCTCTCTGCTTTTGTTTACTATGAGTCAACGTAACTAATCAAACCAATGTTTTAGATAATATCGTTATTTCGTTGACTGAGAGAAACAGAAGGCAACCAATGAATTCCCGGCAAAGTATTCCGACAAAGCTAATGTTACTCTATGGTGTTGTTCTGTTACAGCTGTTTGCTGCTCAAATCAATGCTCAAAGATCTACAAGTACATGGCAGACGCTGAGTGGTGAGTGTGTTCTCACTTGGTCTCTTTCTTTTTCTCATGGTTGCGAGAGAATTTAAGTCCCTGGTTTCTTATTTGTAGTAGAAGTTGTGATAATCATAGTCATAAATAGTAACTTCACTTGCTTTTTCCGTTTGGGGAGTTCTAATTTTAGAAGAACAGTTATGGAAAAATTGATTTTGGTTTGGGGATCTTCTTAGCCAATAAATTGGCAGTTCCAATAAATAATTTTGTCTTAAAATAATTTTGGATTATTATTATTTTTTTTACCAGGTGAAGCTCCACTAGTGATTGCTCGTGGTGGATTTTCTGGACTTTTTCCAGATTCTAGTCTCGCTGCATTTCAATTTGCAATGCAGGCAAGTGTAGACGAAGTTATTCTATGGTGTGATGTTCAGCTAACTAAAGATGAAGTTGGGATTTGCTTCCCTGATTTAAATCTGGCCAATGCTTCAAATATACAAGATGTTTACTCAACTCGTCGAAAATCTTACCCGGTTAATGGAGTCACTACTCAGGGTTGGTTCCCCATTGATTTCTCCTTGACAGAGCTCCAGAATGTTTCTTGTAAGTGTTTATGATTCAGTTAGTGCTTTTGTAGAGTGTTTTGTTTTCCTTGTAACTTCTCACAAATGTTTTTTCTCTTTTTACCTTAGTGATCCGAGGAATATTATCGCGCTCAGAAAAATTCGATGAAAATGGATTTGCGATTTCGACGATTCAAGATGTAAACACGCAGTTATTACCAAAAGATTTTTGGTTAAATGTTCCGCACGATGCGTTCTACGAGCAACAAAATTATAGTATGAGCAGTTTTCTATTATCAGCTGCAAGAACTGTTTCCATTGACTTCATATCTTCCCCTGAGGTGGGTTTCTTTAGGAAAATTGCTGGCCGTTACGGGCGCAACGGACCGAGTTTCGTGTTCCAGTTTCTTGGGAAAGAAGATTTTGAGCCGACAACAAACCGAACCTATGGTTCTATCTTCAATAACCTAACATATGTCAAGACCTTTGCTTCAGGAATTCTCGTTCCCAAGTCTTACATATTGCAACTCGATGACAAACACTACTTGCTTCCTCCTACATCCTTAGTTCAAGATGCTCACAAGGCAGGATTAAAACTATATGCGTCAGGTTTTGCAAATGATGTTGATATTGCATATAACTACAGTTGGGATCCAGTTTCTGAATATCTATCTTTTGTTGACAATGGCGTTTTTTCTGTTGATGGTGTGCTCTCTGATTTTCCCTTAACTGCATCTGCATCTGTTGGTAAGAAAATTCTATTCTACATACACCATTATGTTCTTAAAACATTACTTGTAATACTCAAAATGGAACATTTTGTTTTCGTACTTCTTCAGACTGCTTCTCCCACGTTGGCAGAAACGCTACAAAACAAGGTAATCAAAGTAATTTGCTTTACATTTCTTTTCTATTACTAATATATATAGAACAAAATGTTTATTACCAAATGGAATCGTGCCTTATTGGATTTTCTTGTTATCTCAAAAAATGGCGCGAGTGGGGATTATCCTGGATGTACAAACTTGGCATATGAGAAGGCAATCAGAGATGGTGCTGAAGTTATCGATTGCCCAGTTCAAATGTCTAGCGACGGTATACCCTTTTGCGCAAGTTCGATAGATCTCGCGAACAGCACAACGGTCAACCAAACTCATCTCAGAAACCGTTCCATATTTGTTCCTGAGATTAGCTCAGCTGCTGGAATATTTACTTTTAGTCTCACATGGCATGAGATCCAGAGTTTGACTCGTAAGTTTCCCTTCAATTTTTCCAGTTGATTCAGAAAATGCTAGTCTATTCTGCATACTCTTATTCCTACTAATTATAGTAACTAGTACGAGAGCTTTTGTTTCTCTACTCCTACTAAACTTCAAGATGTTAGATATTGATACAAATATGTGTTTCTTAACAATTTACATCCTCTTAGCTTAGGGAAGTAACCGTTCTCCCATCTTGTTGTGCAGCTGCTATCTCAAACCCGTTTAGGCTTTACAGTATGTCCAGGAATCCGAATGAGGGAAATTCTGGGAACCTTATTTCACTCTATGAATTCCTAAACTTGGCAAAAAACTCCTCTTCTCTCTCCGGTGTTTTGATCAGTCTAGAGGTGAGTTATCATGTACTTCTTAATCTTGAGATTTTATCAATCACACAACTATAATATCTATATTATGTCCTTCAGAATGTAATATACCTAAGAGAGAAGCAAGGACTCGACGTAGTTAAAGTAGTTCTTAATAGACTCACGGAAACTGGTTACATCTTTGGAACATTAAAGGTCATGATTCAGTCTACGACCAGCTTGGTTCTTGTTGACTTCAAGAATCAGAGCAAGTACGAGACTGTCTACAAAATTGAAGAAACCATTGGTAATATTCCTGACTCGGCCATCGAAGACATAAAGAAATTCGCAAATGCTGTTGTCATCAACAAAGATTCAGTTTCTCCTAACTCTGAATCGTTTGTCACTGGGCAAACAAATGTTGTGGAGAGGTTGCAGAAGTCTCAGCTCCCGGTTTATATGGAACTGTTTCGGAATGAGTTTGTCTCTCAACCATATGACTTCTTCGATGATGCAACTGTTGAGATAAACACATATATCTCTGGACACGGTATTAATGGAACCATCACAGAGTTCCCTTTCACAGCTGCAAGATACAAAAGTAAGTGACAGAAAATTTGCATCTAAAGGTCTCACAACACAAAATAATTAACATCAATGCCTGGCTCTGTTTTTATTTTGTAGGGAATCGATGTTTGGGTAGAAAAGAAATACCACCTTACATGTTACCTATTCAACCCGGTGGCCTCTTAGCCATTATGAATCCTCTGGCCTTACCTCCAGCCCAAGCTCCAAACCCGATTTTCACATATGATGATGTTACTGAGCCACCAGTACCTCCGGTTATAGCAAAATCCCCAACCTCAACCCCAGGAACATCATCAACCATTGCAAAACCTCTAAGTTTGTTCTTTACTTTTCTTTACTTCTAGATCGAGTTTGGTTCCATTCTGAAAATTTCTTTTTGTTGAATGGTTGTACAGGAAATTTGTTCAAAGTAATTCGCATAGGTGAGTTATGCTGGCCAGAAAATTTTTAAACTGATTTTGTTGCCAAGATTAAAAATGAAGGTACGAAAACAAACATTTTCTCCATTTTTTTTGTAGTTTCGGTGTCAGCAGCAGGAGTTGTATTGTTCCTAGTCTTATTATCATTAACATTCTGTTTTCTCCGAAAGAGAGAAACACAGCTGAGACAACAGAAGCTGAAGGCTCTTATTCCACTGGAACACTATACTTATGCACAGGTGAAGAGAATTACAAAGTCATTTGCGGAAATTGTTGGGAGAGGCGGATTTGGAATTGTTTATAAAGGAACACTTGGTGATGGCCGTGTGGTTGCGGTTAAGGTCTTGAAAGACTCAAAAGGTAATAGTGAAGACTTCATGAATGAGGTTGCGAGCATGAGCAGAACTTCTCATCTCAACATTGTTTCCTTGCTTGGTTTCTGCTCAGAAGGTTCCAAAAGGGCAATTATATATGAGTTTTTGGAAAATGGGTCACTTGATAAGTTTATCTCAGGCAAGACCTCCGTGGATATGGATTGGACGACACTGTATAGAATTGCGCTAGGAGTTGCCCGTGGTTTAGAGTACTTGCACCATAGTTGCAAAACAAGGATTGTACATTTTGACATTAAACCACAAAATGTACTCTTAGATGACAATTTTTGTCCCAAAGTTTCGGACTTTGGTCTCGCTAAGCTATGTGAGAAGAAAGAGAGCATTTTGTCAATGCTGGACACAAGAGGTACCATAGGGTACATTGCACCAGAGATGATCTCGAGAGTTTATGGGAATGTGTCGCACAAATCAGATGTGTATAGCTATGGAATGTTAGTCCTTGAGATAATTGGTGCAAGGAACAAAGAAAAAGCTAATCAAGCCTCTCCTTCTAACACAAGTTCAATGTACTTTCCTGAATGGGTATATAGAGATCTTGAATCAGGCAAGTCCGGAAGGCATATTGAGGATGGAATTAACAACGTAGAAGATGAGCTTGCAAAAAAGATGACATTGGTGGGTTTGTGGTGTATTCAGCCTTCTCCGGTGGATCGCCCAGCGATGAACAAAGTTGTAGAGATGATGGAAGGAAGCTTGGAAGCTCTTGAAGTCCCTCCTAGGCCTGTTTTGCAGCAAATCCCAAGATCAAATTTTCAAGAATCTTCTACTCTTTCAGAGGAAGTCTCTGTTTATACAGAAGGATGATCCAAGAAGCCACCATGGAACCTATCAAAGCATGAAACTAGCTATATATTTATTCAAAAAATCTCATATATTGTCTACATTCCGAATTCATGAGAAGACTTTTCTCTTAAACAAGTTTTTTATGACTATGTTAGACTATTTGAGAAAGATTTCTATCACGATAAAACATTTGAGGCGTTACACCCTTAAAGATGAGATATCAAGACTTTAAGTTTTATCTACAAATAACTCAAGGTGTCTTCAGATTAGACTTTTATTTGTCTTTTAAAACCATTCGAGAAATTACTACTTCATCATTGTTGTTGTTTCTGTCTCAATTCTCTAGAGACAGTAATAAACAACTATGTATTGACTTTGCAAGTCTCCTAAATCCTCTTTGGTCAGCTTTAAAGGATGACGATAGAAAGATTATGAGATAGGAGATAAGAGAGAGTATGGTATTGGTTTACCGGCAAGTCCCCTATCTCAGTCCCACTAAAGATTTTAATTTCATGTTTTGCAGAGAGGACAAATGCCCAAGGCCCACTAAAGATTCTTTTCCATGTTTTACCTCATTTTCGGGGTATAGACGTTTAGGTGATAGTATAAACAAAGGTTTTAGAAATAGTAACAAAAAAAAATATGAAGGACAAAGATTATATATCATAGTTGATCTAGCAAATGACCATTATATGTTATTTTTCTTCACCACCATTAATCATATCCAAGAAAGAAAAAAAAATGCTAAAGGAACATCCAATAACCAATCTTTCTCTGTCTATATATTGTGTGTTTGGCATATAATTAACTTAACGAAGAGACGAGTCTTTCTGAGTCAAGTAATAAATTGTTTAAAAAAAAAAAAGGCTAGTCTCTTTGTATTGGTCCACTATGAGTCAACTAATAAAGCCATTTGATTATTGTTCTTGACTCTCTCTCCATTTGTTCACTATGAGTCTATGAGTCAACTAATAAAGCCAATTGATAATAAAAAAGCTCTTGAGTCTCTCTGTACTTCTCCTCTATGTGTTCAATGCTTATGCATTACAAAATTAAACATTAAACATTAAATATACTATTTTTTGTTTTTCCATTTATGTAAGTTACCGATGAATTCCCGGCCAGGTAATCCGACAAAGATTGTAATACGATCTTCAACGCTTTTATTCTGTGGTGTTGTTCTGATTCAGCTGTTTGTTGCTCAAATTGATGCTCAAAGATCAACAAGTCGATGGCAGACGCTCAATGGTGAGAGTTGTTCTTACTTTTTCTCTTTGTTTTGCACATGGTTTCCAAGAAAACAAGAGAACTTAAGTACTAGTAGTACTTTTTTTTTCTTTATCTATATGTGTAGTAAAAGCTGGGATAATAACTTCATTTTGATTTCAGAAGAACAATTATTGACAAGTTTATCTTTGGTTTGGGGATTATAGCCAATAAAGGGCAGTTCCCAAATATTAGTCTAATAACTGCTTTGATTGTGGAAGCATAAAATACTTTTGTCTCCAAGTATTAAAATAACTTCAAACTACTTTTTTATTTATTTACTAGGTGATGCTCCACTAGTGATTGCTCGTGGTGGCTTTTCTGGATTGTTTCCAGATTCAAGTCTAGCTGCATACCAATTTGCAATGCAAGCAAGTTTAGCCGATGTTATTCTATGGTGTGATGTTCAGCTAACTAAAGATGAAGTTGGGATTTGCTTCCCTGATTTAAATCTGGCCAATGCTTCAAATATACAAGATGTTTACTCAACTCGTCGAAAATCTTACCGGGTTAATGGAGTCACTACTCAGGGTTGGTTCCCCATTGATTTCTCCTTGACAGAGCTCCAGAATGTTTCTTGTAAGTGTTTATGATTCCGTTAGTGCTTTTGTTGATGTTTGGAATTTCTTGTAACTTCTCACAAATATTTTTTCTTTTTACCTTAGTGATCCGAGGTATATTTTCGCGCTCAGAAAGATTTGATGGAAGCGGATTTGCGATTTTGACGATTCAAGATGTAAACACGCAGTTATTACCAAAAGGTTTTTGGTTAAATGTTCAGCATGATGCGTTCTATGAGCAACAAAATTTGAGCATGAGCAGTTTTCTGTTATCAGTTTCAAGAACTGTTTCCATTGACTTCATATCTTCCCCTGAGGTGAATTTCTTTAGGAAAATTGCCGGCCGTTTCGGACGTAATGGTCCGAGTTTTGTGTTCCAGTTTCTTAGGAAAGAGGATTTCGAGCCGACAATGAACCGAACCTACGGTTCAATCTTGAGTAACCTAACGTTTGTCAAGACGTTTGCTTCAGGGATTCTTGTTCCCAAGTCTTACATATTGCCAATTGATGAGGAACAGTACTTGGTTCCTCATACATCCTTAGTTCAAGATGCTCACAAAGCAGGATTACAAGTATATGTGTCCGGTTTTGCAAATGATGTTGATATTGCATATAACTACAGTTGGGATCCAGTGTCTGAGTATCTATCTTTTGTGGACAATGGTGATTTTTCGGTTGACGGTGTGCTCTCTGATTTTCCCATCACTGCATCTGCGACCGTTGGTAAGCAAAATCTCTTCTATAGACACCATTTAAATTTGTCTGTAAAACATTACTAGAAATACATAAAATCAGACATTTGTTTTCATATTTTCTTCAGACTGCTTCTCCCACATTGGCAGAAACGCTACAAAACAAGGTAATGAGAGTAAACATAATATAGATTTTTTTTTTCTGTTCTTACGAATAAAAAATAAACTTATAATTAACTTTATCATCTACCAAATGGTCTATGGCTCAGTGGATTTTCTTGTTATATCAAAAAATGGTGCGAGTGGGGACTATCCTGGATGTACAGACGTTGCATATGAGAACGCAATCAAAGATGGTGCTGATGTTATTGATTGCTCAGTCCAAATGTCTAGCGACGGTATACCCTTTTGCTTAAGTTCAATAAATCTCGGGGACAGTACAACGGTCACCCAAACTCTTTATAGCAACCGTTCAACTCCTGTTCCTGAGATTAGCTCAGTTGCTGGAATATACACTTTTAGTCTCACATGGCCTGAGATCCAGAACTTGACTCGTAAGTTTCCCTTCAAATTTTCCATTATTGCTTCAGACAAATGCACACTCTTGTTCCTACTATTTATAGTAACCAAATAACTAATCACAGAGCTTTGTTTCTTGTCCTACTTAACTTAAAGAGGTTACTTATACAATGCAAATATCTGTTTTCGTAACAATTTCACATTCTCCCATCTTTTTGCGCAGCTGCTATTTCAAACCCCTACTTCAGGGTTTACCGTATTTCCAGAAATCCGAAAGAGAAAAATTCAGGGACGCTCATTTCCCTTTCCCAATTCCTAGACCTGGCAAAGAATTACACTTCTCTCTCCGGTGTTTTGATCAGTGTAGAGGTGAGTTCTTAGTGTACCTCTTAGTCTTGAGATTTTATCAAACCGACCGTGATATCTTCTATGCTTTTTTTTTTTTTTGTGTCCCCCAGAATGCAGCATACTTGAGAGAGAAGCAAGGGCTCGACGTGGTTCAAGCGGTTCTCGATACACTCACGAAAACTGGTTACAACAATGGGACAACCACAACAAAGGTCATGATTCAGTCTACCAACAGCTCAGTTCTAGTTGACTTCAGGAAGCAGATCAAGTACGAGACTGTCTACAAAATTGAAGAAACAATTAGTAATATTCATGACTACGCCATTGAAGACATAAAGAAATTTGCTAACGCTGTTGTCATTAACAAAGATTCAGTCTTTCCTAACTCTGAGTCGTTTCTCACTAAGCAAACCAATGTTGTGGAGAGACTGAAGAAGTCTCAGCTCACGGTTTATGTGGAACTGTTTCGGAATGAGTTTGTATCGCAACCATATGACTTCTTCGCTGATGCAACTGTTGAGATAAACACATATATCTCTGGCGCCGGTGTTAGTGGAACCATCACAGAGTTCCCTTTCACAGCTGCAAGATACAAAAGTAAGTGACAGAAAATTTGCATCTAAAGGTCTCACAACACAAAATAATTAACATCAATGCCTGGCTCTGTTTTTATTTTGTAGGGAATCGATGTTTGGGTAGAAAAGAAATACCACCTTATATGTTACCTATTCAACCCGGTGGCCTCTTAGCCATTATGAATCCTCTGGCCTTACCTCCAGCCCAAGCTCCAAACCCAGTTTTCGTAGATGATGATGTCACTGAGCCACCACTACCTCCGGTTGTAACAAAAGCCCCAACATCAACCCCTGGAACTCCATCAATCATTGCAGAAGCACCAAGCGGACAAACCCGACTTAAGTTATCTCTTCCCCTCTCTGTTTTTTTCCTCTCTCTTCTACTTTTGTGATCAGCCCTATATCACATCTCCTCTCTGTTTATAATGCCTTCCACCCTCGTAAAGATTTCCTTGTGTGAATCTCAGTCAAATGATTAGAGTTTATATGTGTGCCGGTTTACACTTTGGTTTAATGTCATTTGGTCATTGTACTTGTTAATCATCATCAGTTTATAATTAGGTTTTTTGTACCTATGAATTCTCTTGTTCAAGATAATGAACATTTTAAGAAATAAATTATGTTACAAAAAAAAAAAAAAAAAAGTATTATACCTCGTTTCTTAAATGCTCTCTAACTCTTTAGATACAAAAACCTCATCAAGAATATTAATAGAGAACAATGAACGTTGATCAAATTATTATTGACTTTTCCAGTCTCCTAAACCCTCTTTGTACTCTTTCTATCTCAATTTCGTTTATTGGGGGGTCAACTAATAAAGACATGATTACAAGATTCCACGGTTACTTATCTTTCCATAACTAGGTCCTGATCACCATTACCACTTGAACCATAACGATCTCTCTCTGACTCTCTCTCTGACTCTCTCTCTCTGTGTTTTTTTGTTTTCTCTAACCGCAAGATATACTGTTCAGACATCTCAAACAAATCATGTACTATCTATCCACTTCTTGTCTGGTATTTTTCTTCCACTTCACGTTATTCCACAACCTTCCTTGTGCCACAAGTAAACAAAGACTTGGGTGGTGTGAGGCTCTGTTTCAGTGTGGTAACATCACCGCTGGTTTCCCCTTCTGGGGCGGGAATCGTTCCAAACCTTGCGGTCATCCGTTGCTGAAGCTTCACTGCAACAAAAACATCACCTCTCTAAACATCTTAAACCATGAGTACAACGTTTTCGATATAGATCAAACATCTAATACTCTTAGACTTGCTAGAGAAGACCTTTTAGGCTCTTTTTGCTCCGTTACATTCAATACCACAACCTTGCCACCTCAAATCTTTGAGCTGTCCCCAACCTATAAGAGCCTCACCGTTTTATACAATTGTGATCCTAAGACTTCTCACGGCTCGAGTTATACATGTCCTGCTTTAGGTCATTTTTCAATGTCTCAAAGCCTTGATCACCATAATTCCTGCCAAAACAACTTCACAGTTAACGTTCCGTTGAGTTTCTTCCCAAACGAGAGAGATTTGAATTTGACCCATTTGGAAAGTGCTCTACGAAATGGGTTTGAGGTGAAGCTGGTGATCGATGAGATACCGTGTCAAGAATGTTCATCCACTAGTGGAATTTGTGGTTTCAACAGTACCACACAGATTTGCTGCAACGTAACCTCACCACCAGGACGAGATAGTTGCGTTCCACAACATAAACCTAGTGGTAAGTTCCCAAACCTTTTAGTTTCACATTTTTGTTTTTTCAAAGTGCAAATTTATGTTTTCAGTTCCAGCTGACTTTTTTTTGGCCGCCATTTGATTGATGCAGGAAAATCCGATAGCAAATTCTACTTATTTAATGATTCTACAGGGTTTGGGTTTGTGTTCATGTTGACTTTCATAGGTTAGTTTGTTGCCAAGAGATAATTAAAATTCTTTTGATCTTTCATCATTACTCAAAGTTACTAACGGAAACATTTTCTCTGTTTTTTCTAGCTTTCTTATCACTACCAGCTGTTATTGCTTTCATGATCCTGTTGTGCCATATTTTCGGAGTCCACTGTTTCCGAAAGAGAAAAACATCAGATGATATAAAAAAAGAGAAGCTTAACGCCCTTATTCCGCTCAAATATTATACCTATGCAGAAGTGAAGAGAATGACAAAATCATTTGCGGAAGTGATTGGAAGAGGCGGGTTTGGAATTGTTTATCGAGGAACTCTTTGTGATGGCCATATAGTTGCAGTGAAGGTCTTGAAAGATTCAAAGGGTAATGGTGAAGACTTCATAAATGAGGTTGCTAGCATCAGCCAAACATCTCATATCAACATTGTTTCCCTACTTGGATTCTGCTCTGAAGGTTCAGAAAGAGCAATTATATATGAATTTTTGGGGAATGGATCGCTCGATAAGTTCATCTCGGAAAAGTCCTCAATGAAACTGAACTTGACGGCACTTTATGGGATCGCGCTAGGAGTTGCTCGTGGTTTAGAGTACTTGCACTATGGCTGCAAAACAAGGATTGTGCATTTCGACATTAAACCTCAAAACGTTTTGTTGGACGAAAATCTCTGCCCCAAGGTTTCTGATTTCGGACTTTCTAAACTCTGCAAGAAGAGAGAAAGCATCTTGTCATTGCTAGACACAAGAGGGACAATTGGGTACATTGCCCCGGAGATGATTTCCAGACTTTATGGGAGTGTTTCTCACAAGTCAGATGTGTATAGCTACGGAATGTTAGTTCTCGAAATGATAGGTGCAAGGAAGAAAAAAGTTGATCAAAATGCTGCATCGAACGCAAGCTCAATGTACTTTCCAGAATGGATCTATAAGGATCTTGAAAAGGGAGACAGTGGAAGGTTTATCGAGAATGGTATAAGAAACGAAGAAAACGAGATAGCAAAGAAGCTGACATTGGGTTTGTGGTGTATTGAGTCATCTCCATCAAACCGCCCCTCGATGAACAGAGTGGTAGCGATGATGGAAGGAAGCCTTGAAGTTCTTGAAGTGCCTCCGAGGCCTGTCTTGCAGCAGACTTTAACAGAACCGCTTTCGGACTCTTTTTGGATTTCTGAGGAGTTTTCAAGTGCCTCCGAGGTATTGATCTGCTCCACAAATTGAAACCTGTAACATCTAAGTTTGTGAAAGTATATAGTCTTGAAGAGGAGAGTTTCTAAATATTATTGGAATAATTTCATAAATACGACTTTTATGATATTAATTTTTGAAAGTACAACCTCTTTTTGTTAACTTTTATTAAATTCCATCAAATTTCAATAACTAGTCTTTATCAAATGAATGTCAAATTTTATTAACTTATGTGATACTTAAGTATATCATATAATAGTAAATTTCCAACTATAAGATAGTCTACCACCGGGGATGTGCCTTTAGTCAAGTGGTTAAGTCTACTTGACTCCGCCTTCCCCACCGGAGTTCGACTCCACTAAATCGCGTTACCCCGCGTAGTAGGGATTGACTATGGATCGGGCCAAGGTTTTCAAAATAAGATTATGTTTTTGCATATGGTCTGTCATATGTATTTATTTTTTAATACTTTTGTTTTTGTATATGCTGACTATATTGTTACAAAAAGTATATTTCCCTATTCTATCACAATTCTTAGTATGTAATCAGTCTTTCGTTGTTCTGAGAGTTGTCGTAATCAGTCCTTCGTTGTTCTGAGCTCACAACTCTCTAAGTACGCAATCAATCTTTTATGTTCACAAATTATAATTTTAGATTAACATCTATACAAAAAAATTTCATTACATCTTAAATATTTATTGTACTATCTTCACCTTTCGAACACTTTCAGTTGATCTCGAGTACTTTTTAAGTATATCCAAATAATTATTGAAATTCTTTAACCTCGAATATAAAAAATTCCAATTGATCGGATAAACAAAATATTATGTCATATGGAGTATTAAGATGGAACAGTCCACGACAAATGTCAAGCTGCGTTGTGGTGGAAAAACATCATAAATGGAGAGGAATGGATTAGAAAGATAATATGAGAATATATAGACATTATAAACCAAGTCGTCTTGGTCTAATGGTAAAGGAGAGAAAAATCTCTGCCACCTAGGTTAGGTTCGTGTAGTTGGCTACCGGAGTTCGAATTCTAACATGGTTTCTCCGGACCGTAAGATTAATCTTTGGACCTATAAAGTTTTCAGGATAACCTGAGATAAAAATAAATAAAAAATAGACATCATAATAATGCATCTAATATTGTTGAATAATCTCCCCTGAAGTTTATACGTAATACTCCCTTAACGTATCAAATACAACAAGAATTTGTATTGAAGATACTTCTGGTGTTAGTTTGATGGTAGTCAAACTTGTATATTTGTCTAAGTCAATAGTAAACGTTAATGTTTGTTCTTGTTCAAAGAGAGGCTAGAATGTTTGATATATAAGTTAAGAGTTTCAACCTAAATATTCGATGATAGTGACCTGATCAAACTATTGACTTTTCCTGCAGTCTTACACATCCTCTTTGATCAGCTTCAAAGCATGAAGACAAAACATATTTAGAAGATAAAATAGAGTATGGTATGTGCTGGTAAGTCCCTCTCATTTCCACTGAAGATTAATTCCATAGTAGATCTCACTTTCGTTCTTTTAGGCTAAAGTAATAAAGACAAGTAATAAAAAACACTCCAAGTCTCTCTGTATCCGTGACAATCCTTCCTTCACTTGGTCCTTCACAACCTTCACAACCTCCACTTGCTTCTGATTTATCACTCTCTCCCTCTCTTTTTGTTTTCTCTCCTCACAAGATACACTGTTCAAAAATCTGAAAACAAATCATGTACCATCTCCCCACTTCTTGTCTGGTCTTGTTCTTCCTCGCCTTCTTATTCCACCATCTTCCTTGTGCTTCAAGTAAAAAGGAACTTGGGGGGTGTGAGACTCTGTTCCAGTGTGGGAACGTCACCGCTGGTTTCCCCTTCTCGGGTCAGAATCGTCACAAACTTTGCGGCCATCCATTTCTCGAGCTTTACTGCGTCAATAACATCACCACTTTATTCATCTCAAATAAAGAGTTCCATGTTCTAAAAATAAATCAAACATCTAACACTATTACACTTGCTAGATTTGACCTTTTAGGTTCCTTTTGCTCCTCTACATTTACCAACGTAACCTTACCTCCAGAAGTTTTCGAAATTTCACCAACCTACAAGAGCGTCACTGTCTTCCACCTATGTGACCCTTGGTTTCCATACCATTCGAGTTATAAATGTCCTGAGATAGGTCTTATCTCAATGTCTGAAAACCTTGAACATAATAACAACTGCCGTGAGAGTTTCACTGTGAACCTTCCTACAAGTTTTGTTCCAGAAGAGGGAGTGTTGAATTTGACACGTTTGGAAAGTGCTCTAAGAGAAGGATTTGAGGTGAAGGTGAAGATTGATAAAAATGCATGTCAAGAATGTTTATCCTTTCATGCCTTTTGTGGCTTCAAAGAAACCTTTCCATTGGGAATAAAATGCGGTCCACTTTATCAACCTCATTGTAAGTTTCTTATTCATCACTATCATTTCATCTCTACTGTATAGAACTAAACTCTTAACTTATATATCAAACTCTTACCAATATCCTTGCGCTTGTTAGGTTTTTTTATTTTTATTTTTTTGTAAAAATAAATCCTTTGTACGTAGAGTCATATCAATGTTCTTTTTATCAAAACTTACTTTATCAGCTGATGATCTTCGCAAGCTCTGTAGTCAACCATTTAGCTGCGGCAATCAAAGAAATCTCTTGTACCCTTTCTGGATACCTAGCAGAGAAGAATGTGGCCACCCCGACTTTATGCTCGAATGCAACGCAAGTTTCGCAGAGCTTAGCATCTCCTCTGTGAAGTTCAGAACTTAGAAGTGAACTATACCTCGAATATCATAAGACTCGCTAGATCTGATTATATCAGCAATCTTTGCCCCCAAAACCCACTAAATGCACCGTTCATACAAAACGTCATCCCACTCGCTCCCGACACTGATATGCTGAGGATTTATTACGAGTGTTCAAATATTTCACATTCTGTTACTACTTATGTTGGAAATATTCCTTGTGATGATGATCACAAAAGTTACTATGTGACGAGAAGCCTCTCATCCCCTTTACTTCGTGGGGTTAGTGGTCTTTTAAACGACTTTAAGGTATTTTGCAGAAGAAACGTAAGTATTCCCGCTTCTAGATCCGCCTTGAATACTATGGAGAGAACTCCGACTCTAGACAATCTAAAGAAGGCTCTTGAAGAGGGTTTCAAGCTTGGACTTAACAAAGATTGTTCGATGTGCATAGAATCTGGGGGTTCTTGTGGATATAATCAAGTCTCACGTAGGTTTGTCTGCTATTGTGAAGGTTGGACTCATAACCATATTTGTGACCGCCTCTTTTGGGGTAAGTATTTATCTTTCATGTTTCATTGGAAACCTCCATTAAGTTTTTAATACCCACTTATACAAAGTCCCTTGACTTTAAAGTTTTCTTTTGTTGTTTATACAAAGTTCTAAGTTATTTCCTCATGTAACTCTATTTATGCAGGCCTTTCTTCTCAAGAGAGAACAGGTGCTTTATTTTGCTTATACTTTAAATAGACGTAATTTCATTACAACATACCATAAGAGACAAACATATTCTTATTACAAAAACCTTGTTTTTGTTTTCATCTTAGGTTTGGGGTTTTTTATTGTTGGATTGGTGATCAGCTTTCTTATATATGGAATCTTGCTATGTGGTATCAGATGCCTAAGCAAGACATTAGATGATCTTAAACAACAAAATCTAAAGGCCCTTATCCCACTGAAACATTATAGCTATGCGCAGGTAAAGAGAATTACAAAGTCACTCGCCGAAGTTGTTGGAAAAGGCGGATTTGGAACCGTTTATAAAGGAACCCTTTGTGACGGTCGTAGTGTTGCAGTGAAGATGTTGAAATACACCAAGGGTAATGGAGAAGAATTCATCAATGAAGTTGCAAGCATGAGTAAAACTTCTCATGTCAACATTGTTAGCCTGCTTGGATTTTGCTCTGAATGTTCCAAGAGAGCAATTCTCTATGAATATTTAGAAAATGGATCTCTTGATAGGTTCATCTCGAGAAAGAGCTCATTGATATTGGAATGGACAACACTATACAGTATTGCGCTTGGCATTGCTCGAGGTCTAGAGTACTTGCACCATGGCTGCAAAGCAAGGATAGTTCATTTCGACATAAAACCACAAAATATACTATTAGATGCCAATCTTTGCCCGAAAATTCAGACTTTGGCCTCGCTAAGCTGTGCAAAAAGAAAGAAAGCAACTTGTCACTACGGGACACAAGAGGAACAATAGGGTACATTGCACCTGAAGTGTTTTCAAGAATGTATGGTAGAGTCTCCCACAAGTCAGATGTATTTAGCTATGGAATGTTGGTCCTCGAGATGATTGGTGCAAGAAACAATGAAAGACTTGATCAAAACTCTGCATCAGACACAAGCTCAACATACTTTCCTGAATGGATATATAGGGACCTTGAGAAGGGAGAACATGGAAGACTTATCGAGGATGAAATCAGCAGTGAAGATGAGCAGATAATAAAGAAGATGACATTGGTGAGTTTGTGGTGTATATAATCTTCACCATCAGATCGCCCTACAATGAATAGAGTTGTAGATATGATGGAAGGAAACCTAGATGCTATTGAAGTCCCTCCTAGGCCAGTTTTGTAAATTCCTACAATGCCTCTTCAAGAACAATCGTTGGTGTTAGATGATAGTTCGGTTTACACAAAAGTATGATCCATGATTGTTGTATAAATAAAGAAACTACTAAAGCATGTGAACAACAAAATACATTGTTTACATTATACATTGACGTAGCTATTACGTCTTCAGACTAGACTTTCCTTTTGTTTTAAGTTCATAATTTTCAACAATAATTTGTTAAGGTCTTTATCTTCTTTGGAAGTTGAGGAACTTGATACCATAGGCAAAAAAAAAAGACAAAGTACAAGATCAAGGCGATGTGGACAACTGCTACAGCAAGTAAGAATTCATGATTGAAACCGAATCCTTATTTCAACAACGTTTTGAAACTCATGTTTCCAATTCCACTAATGTGCACCATCGAATCCTTATACCCTTCTTGAGATGTGAGGAGTCCATATAATTTCCAAACCACATGCATTTCCCAATAGTACCATCTCCACCAAATCGTTATTTGCTGCATTTTCCTCCAAACCAAAAGATAATGTTATCAAATGTAAGAAATTTTTTTCTGGAAATTATCAAATGTAATTTACTAATTTACCGGTCTAGGAATGAAGAAATCGGAGAAGAGATTCTAGAGACTCAGGAAGAAGGACATG